GTTCAAAACGTAAAAAAATGTGCATGGTTGAACATTGTCAGAAAGTAGATTCTTGAATAGGTTTTGCCAAAATGGGTTCAAAAATGTCAATAATTAATTAAAAGAATACAGTAGCTTTATAATTACTTATAACTTACCGAATTTGATGAACGACATCTTTTATTGGAAAGATGAGCTTGATGAGCTTTCATCATTGCTACTGCCTGAAGCACCAACGTCAATAATGAATGGCTCGACTTGTTCCTCTAAAATATTGTCCAGTTCCCACATTCTCTTTTCAACTTTGTCTTTCACGTGCTTAATACAGTTTTCCCATTTTTGCGCTGTTATTAATTCTAGTGCTTCTTTGAAAAGTCCTTTGAGGTCACAAAATTTAAAAGTTGTATTGTGCTTAGCTATATAATTTTTAACCTCTGCCCATATGAGCTCAATGGGATTGAGCTCGCAATGGTATGGAGGTAAACGGAGCACAGTTTTATTTTGACTTGCTGCCATTTCGTCAATGGCGTATTTTTGATATTCCGCCTTGTGATCCATGACAATTCTTAATAATGGTACTTTCAGCATTGCTTCTTCAAAGTTGATATTTTTCGAGCGGAGCCAATTTTGAACATCAACTTTCCTTGAAGCCGTTGTTGGGACCTTCTCCATTCTTCGAGAATGATAAGGCGCATTATCCAACACAATTACTGCGTTTTCCTCTAAGTTCGGTAAAATTTTTGAAAACCACTGTTCAAACGATTCGCCATTCATTTCCTCGTGGTAATCTCCAGTTTTCTTAGACCCAAAGCACCACAGACCGTCAACAACAAATCCATCCTCACTGCCAATATGGCAGATAATGAGCCTTTTCCCTTTACCTGGAAATCGAAGTACTAACTGGTGTAGATTTATTTCAATAAGCGAACCTTTTTCAAATGTTTTCATCACATTCAACGAAAAAACATTGAGACATGAGTATCAGATTGCTATAATTGGGATTATTTAGTCATATTGAAAGAAAGAATATTGAACGTCGTATGATTAGTCAGCGCTTCACAATTTAATTTAAAGTTATAAACCTTTAAAAAATGAATGATCAGGAACCTGAAATACGCGCAAATATTAATATTAACAAATTATAACTTTATAAAGCTTAAAGTATGAATTAAAATGATTAGAAATATTAGGAACGGTACACAATATAAAACTTAGTACCTTTTTTAAGTTTATAATATTCGACATATTTTAAGATTATATTAAAAAATTATTGAAATATCGAAAACACATAAAAACATGGCTTAAAAAGTTCTAACAAATGAAAATGACAATAAAACATCCACGCATTTTATCGAAAGTTATAAAAGTTTTGTTACTTGTAATATGTTTTATCTGCCCCCTGGAATTAATGTTTAGAACCTTGTTCCCAAGGTTTGAAAAACATCCGATTGTTGTCTATTACTCGTATTTACCTGCTGGATTTTTTAATCCGGTGGACAGTCCATCTAGAAAGGCCCTCCTGGATGAAGTTACAGAATCATCAACCCATACTTCACTTGTAGTGTGTCCTGCGTTTACCCACGTTTCATCAAGGTAATAAATCTTCCTGTTTTGATTTCTATATTTCCCAATTTTTGTTAAATAATCCCTCCTCCATAGCACAATTTCTTCTCTATCCAGTAGTAAACTATTACGACCCCGTTTTTTCCATTTGAAATTTAAATGCTTCAGTAACGCATGGAAAGTTGATCGTTTGAAATTTGGCAACGTTGTATCTCCATTTACCTCCTGCAGTACTTTATCTATAGTCCCATGCACTTTCCTCCTAATCGCATGCTTATCAGCTTCATCCAATGATTTAACAATACTTTTGCGATGTTTACTGGTCATTGGCTCAGAAAAGGTGTGATTTTTTTTGTATTGTCTTAACACATTAAACACTGATGCGCGACACACCCCAACTTTGTGAGAAACCTTCACAACAATTTCTTTGATGGTTGATGACTCGTTCTCCTCGCGCTCGATCTTATATATATTCAAAATGACCTCTTTCATTTCTGCACTCAGGTGTCTTTTTTTAGAGCGTTTCCTAGGTGGACTAGAGGAGTTTACAACTTCATCGGCAGTATCTGTACTACTGGGCATTTTGCGCAAGCAGTTGATAACAATAACAATCAATAACAAGGTATAACAATAACAACGACAAACTCAACAACTTAATAAGATAACAAACGAAAACGTCCAAAGAAATATCAAATTGCAATGATGCACACGACATACGTAACACGTCTGAACCTGAATGTGACTCTGCCTTGATACGACTGCTCTGCCGCTCGGCATAGGCATTTAATTGCGAATTGACCCATGAGGGCTCCTGTTTTACGTCGAGACGGCGGCGTTAGCGTGAAAATCACCGGAACCTTTTGTTTACATCCGGTCTATCTCTTATCTGAATATACTGTAGGCAGTCACTGCTCAGAATTCCGTACTCCGACTATACATGTTCAAATACACCCACTATGAACGAATTTTGAAACCTAATCTTTTGCTTTGGAGAGGACAGTCCCAACTTTGTATTTGACTTCACACGGATCAAAATCTGCTAGTTCTATTCTTCTTTATGAGTCCTGATGGCCCAACTCAAACCATCCAGCAAGAAATATTGAACAAGCTGACTGAAACATGCCTAAAAAGAGCGTCCACCCATGTTCATCAGAATGCTGCATGAAGCATGATAATAATGATGCAATCACAATCGCACAATTGAATTGCCGGAAATCACCGTTAAACCGAAAGATAAAACCTATGCAGAGTTATCTAAATTATATCTAAAAAAGACTTCACTTAGTCATAATTGTTGTTAAATAATTTAAATGCGCCAGTTTCGCTGTAGAATGGAAACCCAACAGACGCAGTCAAACCGTTTAATAATTATTCAAATTAGAGAAATCTCACATATGCTGAAATATATTACCTTTTTTGTATATGTATATGTAATTTAATTGGCAATTTATGTTTGGTGTAATTTGATGTGAGCTTTGGAATATCTGATAAACTTTCGATCTTGAAATTAAGTAAGTCGATATTTTACGTTTTTTTATAAACTGTCATCTAAACTTACAATATTGTCGTCAAAACATCAGATGCCAGTTATTATTTGCAGTTTAAGAACTCGACAGGTTCTCATGCTTTTGTTTATATACACTATATCACAGTTTTGTTGCAAATGACAGTGATATACGTTGCTGATTTAAAAAAAATGTTGATAATGGTAATACAAGAAAAGAATGCCTAAACAACTATGGCTTTTAGTTTATATAACCAGGCATATATAAAAAAAAACGAATCATTATTCTCCATGCTGGCAGTGAAAATGGATTTATACCTAATGCCTTGCTGTTATCTGCCAAAAATATCAAAGAATCATGTGCCGACTAGCATGAGGACATGACTCCGACTTATTTGAAAAGTGGATAGAGCAGCAGTTAATACCAAACATTTCCCCAAATTCAGTGATTATTATCGACAATGCGCCATACCATTCCCGACAGAAAAACAAAATTCCGAATACAGGCACAAAAAAACAAGACATTATTGATTTTATGAAGGATAAGGGAATGGAAATACCACAAAAATCAACCAAAGCCATATTATTGGATCTTATTAAAAGACAAAAATTGTAAAAGAGTATGTTGTTGACAATCTGCTTCAGCAAAATGGCCATGAAGTATTACGTCTACTCCTATACTGCATTTTTAACCCGATTGAGTTGGTCTGGGCTGCTTTAAAAAAAAAAGTAAGAAAACATAATCAGACCCCTCAATTAAGTGAATCGCTATTGGCCACAATAAGAGATGCAGTATCTCATATTGCTGCCACAGACCTATGGAAGCAGTGTTCTAGGCATATTATTGAAAAAGAAAATGAATATTGTGTTTTGCCTCCTGTAAATCCCGTTGTAATTCCTCTACAAGATGACTCTAGAGACAGCTCCGAAGGCGAGGATGATCAATAAATACCTATAGTGTAAGTCTTTATATACGTTTTTATATACCTACCTGCTATGTAAATATTTGCCTATGTCAAACGTTGGAATTCTGTAATTTTTCCATTTCTTAACTTTCAGTCAACATAAATTAAACTCCCAATATAAGTATTTTTTATCCCAAATCAAAAAAATAAGACGATAGTAAAATCCATTTACTGTGATATAAAAACATTATTATTATCGTTCTAAATAAATGACCGCACGCCTGTGATACGTCATGAAATTACAAAGGACGCGCCGACCAAAGGTTTTTATTCTATTTCAAGTGACTTCAGATAAAGTATACGTGAATCCAGTAGGCTGGAGGCCGTGGCTCCCCTGTCGGTACAAAATTTGCCTACTTAGCATGATTTTGTATAGAATTTTGGTATTTTTTAGGATTTGCTACGATGCGCTCTTCAAAAAGTTTTTGAAACATTTTCATTAAATATCTCTCGGCGATGATAGACCCCCCTGATAAAAATTCCTGCGGGCGCCTATGTAACCAAAGCGTAAATCTGGTTCTTTACGAAAAATATAGCTAGTAAAAAGCTTTATGTTCCTTAATTTGTATCCACATTTAAGAATCGTGTTTTATGACGGGGGAGACGTGTAGAATAGTAATTTCCCTGGGGTGCACTATTGAACTTACTGTGAACACTAGATGGAAATACTTTTATAAAGATTTTTCAAGCAGTCCATAAAAACACATACATAATACATTTCGATGTCATTTTTTTAACTGCGTCTCGAAGTACTGAAAAAGTGTGAAACTACAAATGTGTTTGAGGCTTTGCATTCTTTGAACGGTTTGCTATACGAATAATGCAATTTTACAGTCTTAAAAAATATAAGGAATGTCACAAAAAGACATATCTCTTTTGCTTACCGTTTAAAAATTATCACATTTCACAGTACTAGTTTGAAGATTCTTGTAAAAGAGCGCGAAAATTGAAGAAATACATACCATATTTATACGAGTAGGTTTACTTACTTTGTAGTTTTAAGAAGAACTGCTTGGTAGAACGTGAGTTTATAAAATCCAGTAAACCCAAAAACGCACTAGAATAGTATTTTCGAAGGTTTCACCAACAAAATAAAACTAATTCGGATACACTTTGATGAAAACCCGACAGCTTCAAAGATCGCGGTGCGTCGAAGATGCGGTGTTGCAGTTTATAGCTTTCCCGTTTCGCGCCGCATCACAGTAGGCCGAGAAATAAACGCACATCGCGAAGTCGCGGTTCGCGGTAAGCCACAACCGCTGACTGTGTTGCCAAGTTGTCAAAGGGAAAAGAAGACACTTTTATTAGAGCCGAAAACTGTTAAAAAAATCGGAACGTGAACTTTTTATGCAGAACATCACATCCAGTTTCTCCCTTAGTGATTCATGAAATCGAGGACACGGCTATAAACCAGACGTACAAAACACTTTTCCAGGGGCCCTGAAACCATTGTAGCTCCAGCTGATGGAGGCTCTCCAAATTTATTCTTGGGCGAGATCTTTGAAGATCTTAGACAAAGTCTGAGTGGACAATGTGGCATAAGACAATATAAGGATTTTTAGAGCTTGCCACACTTCTGATAAAGTTTTCTAGCCCGCGCTCCTCACAAAGCTTTTGGGAGTGATATTTTCAGAAAAAGTTGAGTAACATTCCTGCGGATGCCCATTATATTATAGTGTCCGACTTTGATCCCGATACGAAGATTTGTCGTATTTCGATTAGGCAATAACTTTGTCTCCATTATCAGGCTTTTTGAGTGGACAAATCATTATACAGCGCAGACTGCAGAGTGCAACGTAGATTCTGTATACCATCTTTTGTTGTTTTGTATCAAACAAGAAAACACGCATCCTTAGTTCGAATATTATACCTAGTAATTGGATACAGATTAAGAACATTTTCTTATCTGGGTATGATGAGCGTTATACATTCAGAGAGATCCTAATCTCACTGACGTTGTCTTGTGTAAGAGAGAGAAGCGTGCAATACATATTTTTCTGTTTTTTTGTCTCCACTATTTAATCTTACTGCTTAATGTTCATTATTTTTGTCTCAATTTGCTTAGCACTTTGTTTCACGGTTCCCTGTATGTTGGCGCTTTTTGCAATTACATTCATTATTTAAATGAGTTACTGTAATTACAGCTTGTAACTGTGAACAAAGTTGTGTATTATTATTATTTTAAGCTAGAAAAAGTGCACCAACATACGTTTTGCATGCTTTTCGCGCTACTCTCCCGAACACGTTATGAAGTCAGTGTGTATGGATATCTCTGTATATGGTATGAAGCTCAAACAGAAATCTCCAACTAATCAAAAACGAATGAGCATTGGCAACGTTGCAACTGGGCTTCGCGACGCGCCTCTAACAACGAATCCCCCATCCGGAAGCGGCACTTCCTGCACTTGGGTGCGATAAAATACTTATAAAAAACAGACACACATCACACATGAAACGCCGGTGCTATTTTTAATGGACCATAACGAATGAAATAGTCGGTATTAGGAAAAGGGAAATGAAGCAGCTAGAAATTTCTTCCGATTCACATATTGAAGTTTCTCCTACGAGTTTTTTCAAAAAGAAATACACATTTTTGGAGGTCGCTCGTCGCCTACGCCAGTTCCTTATTTTTTGCATTGTTGCTCTTTTCCACTGCTTTGAACCTTGGGCTCTAATTTCAGGCGGCTGGCCATAAGGTATAAAGAAATAACTAAGGTATAAAGAAATAACTAGGTATTACGTTCGATGAGCAGCAGAAAATTTTTTCTAAGACGGAAAAATATGCAAGGGCTCATTCGCCTTATATTTCGCCGCCTATTCATGGAAAATAAACCGTATATTTCAATTCAGTACTGCCAGCGCCATCTATACTCTGATAGCTTTTTCAACAAAACATATTTTCAATTATTACAGATACCTGCATACGTATCCGGTGTAGTTTCGTTTTAGGCGTGCAGATGGCAGGATACTTTATCAGCCATGTTTATTTTTACCCCTAAATTTTCGATAAATCCATTCACCCCTATTGAAAGTGTCAAACTGGATCATGTGTTTTGAAGTGTTAAAAATCTAGGGGTAGTGATTAGCACAAAATAATCAGCACAGCTAAATGTTCCCGTAATTTAAAAAAAATGTCGATAATCTGCGAGGAAGTGTTCGACGAAATTAGTCATCCCTCTGAAGAAGGTTTGTTTTTATACGTAATTTCGAGATCAAAATCAAAACTAGGGCACATACCCGATGCTTTTTATGGCTTTGGAAAATATGTTTGTACTGTTTTAATTGCAGAAATCAAAGACTATGCTACAAAAATTGGCATTGATCCTGACTCTGAGCCACAGTTACTACCTTTGGCAGCTGAGGGGCTCATGAAGGCATTACCGCCTGGCTGGAAGCCCTGGTAAAGTATCTGCTCATTTTATAAACAAAAACAGATTGATCTTCTATAAGTTTTGTGAAAATGTTTGGTAAAAGTACTAAAAATAGCAACTTTATATTATGGTGTAATCTTGGCTTTACTATGATCAAGCAAAACTATATTTTTTCTGTAATCGTTTACAAGCTTTAATATTTAAGCTGCAAGGTTGCTATTCAACCATAAGATTTGATTGTTAGTTGTAATAGCTGAAATCACAAGCTTTTGGTGACCTTTATATCACTCCATAGATTGTGCTGCCTGATATTCCTAATTACCATATACCTAGGTTCATTAGTTTTTTTTTTCATCTCAGTGTATCAATTATCCTGAACTCATCATTTTTCAAGACAAAACCAATTTGCATCAATTTTTTTTTGTATTCACAATTTTCTAAATAAGCAGCCTGCATTTTTCAATAAATTTAAAATAAACCATCTACTTTTATGAATAAGCAATCTGCATTTTCCATTTCAAAAAAATAGCCTGCATTCACCTTTTTATTCAAAACTACCATGACTTTTTAACATTTTTTTAATATACAACATTTGTCACCTTTCATCCAATTTTTTTTGGATAAGCAGCCTGCACTTTTAATTTTTAATATGCAGCCTGCATTTACATTTTTCAGAAAGAAATCAGCCTACATCCATTTTTTTAAATAAAAAATAAACCTGCCTGCAGCCATATTTTGAATAAGCGATTAATTAAAAAAATGGCATGTATTAACTTTTCTTTCAACAGCTACAATATATTGTATCTACCATTTTAAGAAAACAGTGTATTTTCTTTTTTTTTAATAACCAGCTTGCATTCTCCATTTTGCTTAAGAAAAACTGCCTGCATCACCGGTTTTTAAAAAGCTACCATAGATTCACCATTTTTAAAAAATCAGCCTGCATTCAACATTTTTGGAAAAACAACCCCTATCCTCAAATTTGGGATAAATAGCCTACTCCCGCAATTTTTTTTAAAGTCACCTGTATCCACCATTATTATGAAAAAAAACATGCCTATCAAACATTTTTCTAAATAAACACCCAGCATTCACCATTTTCAAATAAATCTGCCCACAGCCACATTTTTATTTTAACATTTATCACCTTTCAAAGAAAAAATATGGGTTGCATCCAATTTTTTTGGGATAAGCAGCCTGCACTTTCAATTTTTTAATATGCAGCCTGCATTTACATTTTTCAGAAAGTAATCAGCTTACATCCATTTTTTTAAATAAAAAATAAACCTACCTGCAGCTATATTCTGTTTTGAATAAGTGATTAATTAAGAAAAAATGGCATGTATTAACTTTTCTTTCAACAGCTTTACAATATATTGTATCCACCATTGTAAGAAAACAGCCTGTTTTCACTTTTTTAATAACCAGCTTGCATTCTCCATTGTTCTTAAGAAAAACTGCTTGCATCACCTGTTTTTAAAAAACTACCATAGATTCACCATTTTTAAAAAATCAGCCTGCATTCACCATTTTTGGGAAAATATCCCCTATCCTCAAATTTGGGATAAATAGCCTACTCCCGCAATTTTTTTAAAGTCACCTGTATCCACCATTATTATGAAAAAAAACATGCCTATCAGACATTTTTCTAAATAAACACCCAACATTCACCATTTTCAAATAAATCTGCCCACAGCCACATTTTTTTTGGATAAGCAATCTGCATTTACAGTTTTGAAAAAACAGCCTGCATTCAGGTGTTTTTTAAATCATTTTATACATTATACCATCTTGTTTACATTTCGCGTCTAGCCTTTTCTAATTAAACCAGGCATTCACCATTTCAAAAAAAAACCTACATCCAGCTTATTTCCGTGAAATACTGCCTTGTTTTTTGGGCTGTGTGCGACCTTGCATTGTCTTGGTAGAGGATGATTCTTCTTTCGGGGTTGATTTTTCGAAGCTCGGTGATAACTTTTGGCAAACGAATGGTGGTATACCAATCCGCAGTAACAGTTCTTTGTTCATTAAGAGGAATTGTTGCAATATGACCCGCTTTCGACACAAATGTCGCGAAAATCTTTTTCGAAACACTTCGAGAACGGATGACTTTTGTTGGCTTTTCTTCACCTTGGAACACCCAAACAGCCGACTGTCGTTTATTTTCTGGTTCATAACAGTAAGTCCACGATTCATCACCACTAACTGGCTGCTTTCTACTCTTCAGTCAACAGGTGATGAGAGAATGAGAGACTAATTTTCTTACTCCTAATTCTTCATGTAAAATTTTTTGAATCGAGGTCTTTGAGATATTCAAGGACGCCTCAAGTCACAGGTCTATCTTCATTGATGAATTCTCCATACCAACGGGAAATTGTCGACTGATGTGGCGCTTCGTTGCCGAAAACAGACAGTAACTCAGCAAGGCATTCTTGTTGCGATAATTGTCTCTGAAAGTTGTAATAAATTATGGCGCAAAAATGTTCTCGGTCCAGTTCCATTTTTCTAATGACTTGGTGACACTTAAAAATTCACTGTAGTGAGAACACTGCACGTATCGTTGTGAAACTTTGAATTTAAGTTTACTAAAGAGTGAGGTTAAGATTCAGTACTGACGTTCGATCCACGCGGCCTACTATGTTTCTGTATGCAAAACCTGAAAAACACCCCAGATTCACCGTTTTATTGACTTGCATCCTGAATGTTTAAAAAAAAAGAGCCTCTATCCTTTATTTTTTGAACTCTGAAGCAAACTACAAAAATAAATATTAGCCAGTACTTTGAACTTTATTAGGTTCATCTTCAACAATACCAACTACATTGTTTTTTACATCGTCTTCATCGTCATCATCATCTCCTGCACATGTTTCGTCATCACTTTCATTTTCTTCTTCCTCTTCATAAGAATGTCTCGAGAGTTTGCTTTTAATCCAAGTCAGCATCTGCTGTTCATTCACCTCTTTCTCAACGATAGTCGGTAAAATGTGTTTCTCCTTGAACTCATTAATTTTGTCCTCAACTTCTTCCCATGTTAATTTTTCGTGCATTCCATCTTCACCATACCTACAGTTATATCTGGAGAATACAAAATATTATATGTATTGCAAATTTGATTACACAGCTAAAGAATAACTCATAAAAATCGATCCTTTGAGCAAATTTGTGTTAGTGAAAGTCTTTTGACCAATGTAAAAAACTCAAGAGCCATGACATCTTGAACATCGTTAAAAGTATACTCTTGATCTAAAGTGCATCACCCAGAATTGTTTATTGAATTATGATAAAAACTTGTAAACATATTTGCTATCATGGAAGTATACGCTGATAAAATGTTACGCGCTACTTTCCAAGTTTCAGAGGGGTCAGATAGTTGGGTAAATTGAAATGAACCATACCTATCATAATGAACAAATTCCAATACAAGCCCTAAGCCAGGAGCTCTAGGTATACTTATTTTCTCCAGTTTGAATGACTCGTTCAACATATCTTCCGATGCTAATCCTCTTACTGTTGCTAACAGTAATCCAACCATTTTCTTATTTGATGCATCATGAAACTTTGGCCATGCACCTTTAGAATTGCGAATTCTACATTGTTTCTGATAATCGGTGTTTCACAAACAAAGGACATTATGTACCTGAAAGAAAAAATGAGTATCGGTACTCAATTTTCAAAAATACAAGGGTACTGGTGGGGCAAAGCAAGAATTCAAGTGAGAAAACTGAAATTTTCGAAAAAGTAGTGGGAAAATGGTGAATGTATGCACAAAAAGATTAGTCAATGTTTTGAGAAATTATCAAGCGAGATGGATCGAAAATAGTGAGTTACCAGCATCCCTGTAAATATGTTTTAAAATCAGAAAATGTTATACCTTTTTGCACTAGGATCGTTTGGCTTCTTTTTTGATGTATAATTATGAAAGTTTTTTGTGCCAACAAAATGTTTAAGCAATTCATTGATTCTATTCAACTTGTCTGCATCTAATCTGAAACTTTCTTGTTCGACTTCCTTATCATGGTCAGCGAATGCTACAGTTGGTAACATATACATGTAAGTTCTGCCACTGCATTGGGATTTGCTGTTAAACCCTTTTGTAACTCTCTTGCAATCAAAGAGTCTGATAACATCGGGCAGTTCTTTGTTAACTTGTTCTATGTCCATGTTTTCTGGTAACTTGATTGACACCACTTGTCTTACAGCAGACACACCTTTGTCAGTTCTTGCAGCCCTTTGAAACTGCATATTTTGCACCTGGTCATAACACAGATCGTTGATAAACTTGGCCTTGTGCAAGGCTTTGAACAGGTCCTCTTCTATGGTTTTTGTATACGGGTTTCTCTGCATTCCAAAATAATTTACACCTGAATAGCCCAACAGTATAGCGAATTTTCTACGTTTGATTTTTTCGACTGGATTTTCGGATTCGGCCTTAACATCGTCTACCTTGGCTTTTTTTGGTTCCGAAGTTATACTTTTACCTTTATCAGACCGTCGTTCTTCCCACTGTCTTTTCTTCGACCGCCCGTCGTATTTCGGTTTCTGGAAAGGTTTCTTCTCGTTCATGTCCTTAATTCGTATCGGACCTTCCGAGGATAGTTGTTTGAGTATTGAAACGCAAGGTGTAAAAAATGGCTTGCTTACGTTAAAATACGTTTTAAGCATCACTTATATGGAAGTACAAAGTTAACAATCAAACGTTATTTCATCTCCTCTTTATTTAAAACTATGCATTAGTTATGCGTACCAAAACATGCTTGGTTTATGGATTTTCTCAAATGCCAAAAAGTGAGGTTAGATGTTAGACATCTGACTGTTGACAGCCATCTGTCATTCATAGAACAAATTTTGACACAGAATCAAACTCATTGAAACATTGGCTTTAGTTTGTGTACTTCTGGGATAGAGGGGAAGTGTTGTCATGTGTGTTTTAAATATTTAATTTAATGAAACTTACTGACTACAAATTTTGGCTTAACTTAGAAAAACTTAATGCCATTTATTTGTTAATTACCCAATTTAAAAACGTTTTAAATTAGATTATAAAAATGAGTAAGATTGTGGCGAATTTTTCCTAGTTATTCATTTTATTGCAGTTACGACGATAAATCCAAGTCGTACTATTACTATAATAGCATAACGAAAAAAACGCAATGGGAACATCCTTTAGACGAAGTCTACAGAGGTTTGGTGAAAAAAGTGCGAGCAGAAAGCCAGTCTTTGAGTATCCACGACAACAAAGACGACGCCACTTGCGCTACCGATGATTTATTGAGTCTTGATGAACCACCAAAGCTGTTAGATCCGTCTCCTATGAGTAAGTCCTCAGATTTGAGTGTCTAGTGCGAATTTATAAAAGTGCCTCAGTACCTCGCATTCTTAGTGAAATGAGATGTTTTAATCTCGTTTATATCTTCAAATTTGTTTTTCAAAAGTAGGTTGTGGAGCCAGGAAAAAAGTGAGATTATCACCACTGAAGCTAAGTCCATCCGCAAGTCCCAAGAAAGAAAACAAACTGTTCAAGCAGATGTCCGAAGATGTGAACGTGAAATGTGCCAAAAAATTAACGTTAGGTTTCAGCAGTTTCGATAATGACAAAGATATTAGTTTCGATAAGCATCCCAGAAGTATGGACAAACCAGAACTGAAACTCAGCGGAGGAGGAAGTATGTTTCTGAAATCGAATACGAAGAAATCGTCGTCGCTAGAACAGCAAAATAGTTTGGGTGTTGGTAATAATGTCGGAAAATCAGACTCCCTGCAAGGTTAGTTTGTTTTTATAATTGCTGTCTTTTATGTGCTTGTTTTCATTGTATGCCATGAGTCAATTCACGGGGCAACATGGCACTATTTAAAATATATCCGAAAAGTTATAATTCTTTTACGAATTTTATCCTGTTTTGCTGTGTATGCTTTCAAATGATCGATTTGCCTTCCAGAATCTCAGCAACCAAAAGGCATTCTTAGGGAAAAACTAGGAATAGAACATTCAAAAAGTGTAGAGTTCGACAAGTTGTCGACACTAGATAAATCTGAAAAGGAAGATGAAGACAAGAAAAGTGTTAGATTCAATTTGGATACTAACACGGACATAGGTAAAATCTTAGTTTTTCAATATTTTTCCGTTCTACGCTAAAACTGGCGAGGCGTTATTTTAATTATTGTTTGTTTATTTTGTTGTGCGGCGAAAAATTTGTATTGTGACAAATAGGCGCCATCTGTTGAGCGAGTCTCCTACTAGCCAGAGCCTAATGGCCGATCTCTGCTTTTACGCGAACCACAACCGTACAAGCCGTCTGGCGGCGTCTGTGTGGACGGTGACAGTGGACCGCCTTCTAGATCAACGCGAAGTGACCTCCAATATTCTAGATGTCGCTCTGTGTACAGGTTACACCAGTGCAGATCGGAGTGGCGTACAGTGCAGTCAATGGCGACATAAGAATTAGTCAGACATAAATAGTGGTGTATGTAAATAAATAAAATAAAAGTTAAATAAATCAGTACATTTCTTTTTGTGGAAGCCAGTGTTTTAATCCACACCCAGAAAAAACGCTACAGTATTATACCACAGTATTCACAGGTTTGAGACTGATGGCCACTCTCACCACATTCTTCTTTGTACAGTTTTTAGCTTTATAGTGGAATCCTCTTACTCTGATTTACGGTTTCTTTATTGTTTTCAATCTTTTATGATTTTGAAAAAAGTAGCACTATAATATAAATTAATTACCAATTATTTTCAACAAATCTTTTCTTAGATAAAAGTTCGAGTGAAGAAGATCTGAACAGCAGTAAGAATCTCAAAATCGACGAAATAATCAACGTTAAACTAACACCGAATAAGTCACGATTTACCGTGACTCCGGTGTCTGAACCAACAAGTTCATTAAAGTTGATAAAACCGAACCCCAGCGACTTTGTCAAGCCGAAATTAACTCTGAATAAAGGTTCGGATTCGGACGAAGAAACTAGAAGTCTCGAAAAAGTCGCGATCAACAATATGGACTCGATTTTCGATAGTGATAATTCCGTATCTAGTCACGAAGAAAAATTAGGGGCAGTTACTCATAACAAACTAGTGAATAAGTCTGACAAAGCCGTGGAAAAGATGAAACTAAAGATTTGGGAAGAAAAGAACGACGAGCTAGTGAGGTTTAAAGAGGGCATAGCATCTTCGCATAAGAATGAAATGAGTAGAATAGTAGATAACGAAAAATCAAAGTATGAAGAAACACTCGAGACTGAATTAGACGATCTTAAAAAAACTATGGAAGAAAAACGTAAAAGAGTTCTGGAAGAGGAAGAGAAAAGGTTAGAAGAGGAATTGATAAAGTTAAAGGCGGAACTTGCGGCGAAATACGAAATGGAAGAGAAAAGGATGAAAGAAGAGTTTGATAGGAAAAAGGAGGAGTTGGAAAAGTATTACGACGAGAAACTAGCGGAAGTTGAAAAGGAGTTAGCCGATAAGGTAGATAGGAGTAAAGCGGAGATGACATTCACGCACAACGCGAATGTGGATCAACTCAGGCAGAATCATTCGATATTAATTGACGATCTGAAACGGGGATTCAAAACAGACGTAAGTAAACATTCATTAATACATCCTGTTTTTTTAACAACAAGGTTGGATTAAGTTGGGCTAAGGACAGATATATACAAAAGTGTTATTGCGAGTCGAAAACTACTTGATTTATGAAAATTTTTTTTCACAACTCTCCCAACGGCTCTATATTTTTCTAATTAGTCATTTTTTGTCTCTTATACTTTAAATGCTTTCGGAGCTGGTTTCTTAAAAAAATTAAGCGTACGAATTCGCGGTTAAAAGCTAGTCCGTTTTTCAGGAACAGATTTTAAAACAGCAACACCAAGCGCAGATGGCTGAACTGAGAGCCAAGAACCAAAACGAGATGGATTCTGAGAAGAATAGATGCGATGAAAAAGCATATGAGAAAATGCGTGGCGAGAAACGTCTTTTAGAGGATAAATATAGGTGCCTGAAGGATAAATATCTACGTCTAAAGACTGATGTTAAATTATCAATAGAAAAGCGGAACAAGAAAAAAGAACAAAGCATCACTACGAACACTACAGGATCTGAGACTGAACAAAGTAATTCCAACAACAGGGATAGGTAACTCTTCTTTAAACCACAGCTATTTGTAAGCACCTTTTTTATTTTTATTATTTTCTTTACAGTATTAGAGTTTCATGTGTTTAGATTTGCTTCTTTTTTATTTTATCGATTGTACCATTTTGTTTGTAGTCAGAGGTGATGATATTCTGGTAAAATACAGGGTGTTACAGAGTTTTCGCAAAATACATTGGTACTAACTGGTAGCCAAATGATATTCCAGAGTATCACATTTATAGGTGTCCTTTAGGGTTTTTAGTGTGTTTTGAGGGTTGATTAATCTCCTGATTTCAAATGAATGGTAACTCACCCCAAGTGGAGATTTAGGCCCGTATCGTCAGTCGTCCCTACAATTTTAGGGCGCGTTTATGGCCTCCTTGATTGTCATAGTTTTATACTTCTCCGTGTCAACGTTCTATTTTGAGGTTATGTCACAAACATCTATTTGCATCAAATTGTGCTTGCCTTTGAGTTATATCATGTTTTATCAGCCTGAAATTTCCTACAATGTAAAAGGAAAACATATCTTAACAATAGGAGAGCGCTGACGCTGACACGGGACGAGTGTAATCTAGAAATTTTTGAAGGAGAGAAAAAAGTATGACAGTCAAGGAGGCCATAAACGCGCCCTACAATTGTAGGGACGACTGACGATACGGGCCTTAGTATTCACACTAACAACGGATTTTCAAAATTTACAGATTCTTCAAAATTCTCAAAACTCTCAGGATTTTTCAAAATTTTTAAATGTATCAAAAATTACTATTATTAATTTTCAGAATTTTCAGTTTTAAAATTTTTCAAACTCTTCAAAATTTTCATAATGTTTAAAATTTCCAACATTTTCATGATTTTCAAAACTTCTAGGGGTTTTAAGAATTTTCAAATTTCGAAAATACCATCCACAATTTTCAAGATTTTCGAAAGTTAAAACATTTTAGAGATTTCAAATTTTATGTTTACATCATTTTTAAGATATCCAGTATTTTTAAGCTTTTGCAATTTTCAAACATTGAAAGAATTTCAGGTCTGTTAAATTTACAAAATTTTTGTGTTTTCTAATTTTGATTTTCAGTACTGTCAGGATTTTGAAAATTTCTCCAAACTTTCAAGATTTTTCAGAATTTTCTTTCCTCATCATCCCTCAAAAATTTCATTTTCTAATTTTCAGGGTTTTCAAAAATTTTATTATTTCCAAAATTTCCAAAATCTTCAATGAAGTAAAAATTTTGAAAACATTTTAAATTTATAAAAATCTTTGAAATTTTGAAAAACTTTGAAAGCAATAAAAACTGAATTTTACAAAATATTCATTTTTGAAAATTTTCAAATTTTTTTGTTTTCAGCATTTTCAAAATTTTTCATAATGTTGTAAACTTCCAACGTTTTTCGAAATCTACAGGTTTTTCGAAATTTTCAAGATTTTCGAAAGTTAAAACATTTTAGAGATTTCAAATTTTATGTTTACATCGTTTTCAAGATATCCAGTATTTTCAGGCTTTTGCAATTTTCAAACATTGAAAAAATTTCAGGTCTGTTAAATTTACAAAATTTTGAGTTGAATTTATTTGAAATGTTCAAAATTTAATTTTTGTGTTTTCTAATTTTGATTTTCAGTACTGTCAGGATTTTGAAAATTCTCCAAACTTTCAAGATTTTTCAGAATTTTTGTTCCATAGCATCCCTCAAAAATTTCATTTTCTAATTTTCAGGGTTTTCAAAATTTTTATTATTTCCAAAATCTTCAATGAAGTAAAAATTTTGAAAACATTCTAAATTTATAAAAATCTTTGAAATTTTGAAAAACTTGGAAAGCAATAAAAACTGAATTTTACAAAATATTCATTTTTCAAAATTTTCAAATTTTTTCGTTTTCGGCATTTTCAAAATTTTTTTAATGTTGTAAACTTCCAACGTTTTTCAAAATCTCCAAGTTTTTCGAAATTTTCATATTACAAAATTTTCTGTTTTCAAAGGGTTTGCAATTTAAAAAATTTTGAAGGTTTTCGAAATTTTAAAATCGTAAATTTTTCAAAAATTCCTCTTAAAATTTTCAGGATTCTCAAAATGTTCAATAACATCAAAATTTGCGAAATTTCCAAAATTAACTGTTTCGTTTTTTCAATTTCTTATAATGTTCAAATCTTTAAAAAATTTCTTTTCCAAAATTTTCAGGATTTCCGAAATTTCTTGTTATCAATGTTTTCAAAATTTACAATATTTAGAAGAGTTTGCAATTTTTAAAACTTCAAAGATTTTCATTCATTTTTCGAAATTTTCATAATTTTCGTGTTTATCAAAATTTTCCAGGATTTTTCAAAATTTCAAAACTGAAAAGACGGCCAACCGTGTTTCGTGCTCTTTGACAACTTATAAGCATGGTCTAGGCTTACTCTCACATATGAACTGGGATACAGTAGACATCTTGTTGTTTCACTCACGCAATAGTCGTGACACTTTTTTCCCATAATTTGAACCTGCCCTTGCAACTTTCCTGACAACGTTCTACAACACCCTGTATAGTATTGCATGTACCAGTAGAAATAGCCAGCTTGCCTACCACTCTCGTGTATATAAATCGGATGCCTGAAACCCTTTTTGTAAATTCCCTTCAAGGAAACTGGTCGAAAAACCTCCAACCCCTAAACAGACTCGTTCTGGTGTAGACGCGGCGCATTTCGGCAAGTCGGAGGGCAGGAACCTGAAACAGGTCACCATTCAGGATCTGGACACGTCGATCAGTGATAACTGCTACCAGAGCGACGATAAGGCCAACCAGAATGACAGCTCGGACAGCACCAATCCGGGGAGGAGCAAGAGGAAGCTGTTTTCAAGGTTCGTACTACAACTGCCACAATTCAAAAATGTGCACGGTCAGAATAAAGCCATTATCGGCGTAAAGAATGAACTAACGCACATTTCCAACATGCATCTTAATTCAAGGAACTGGTGAAACATATTACAGCAGACGCTTGATAACGTAAACACGGGATAATGAAAACTTGCGCTAATGTAAACACAAACTTCGTTCTATAGGATCAAACGGAACGCGCAATAACGTAAACAATGTGTACGCTCGATAACGTAAACAACTCTCGGCGCACGGAAACAGCGCGACGGTAAAATGCTGAAGCCTCGATGATTTATGTCGGGCGTCGGGGAGTCCCCGATTTATGATGTAGAGTGTAGGGGATTCACCTCTGCGATAAAATACGACAAACTCGGTCAGTCGTATGATCGTTTAGGATACGTTTATACGTACGTATGTATTTCATTTTTGAACTTAAGTGAATACATTGCACGCGTTAATATATTTTACGACTATGGCATCCACATCCTATAAAAGAAAGTGTTTAAAGTGGAGTGAGAAAGTGAAAATCTTAGACGAAGTTGCACTAGGTGCGGGAGTGACACAGTTAGCAAAAAAATATGGAGTATCGAAAGCAACAATCTGTAAAATTAAGCGTATGAAAACTCAAATTTTACAAAGAACGTGGAATACATTTGGAGGTCGGGGAAAAAGAAAAACTTTAAAACATGCGAAGGCACCTAAAATGGAAAATTCCCTGTATAAGTGGTTTTTAAAACAACGAGAAAATCATGTCCCAGATAGTGGCGAAGTACTTAAACAGAGAGCGAGACTGTTAAATGAAAAACTGAAAGAAACTGAAAATTTCGTAGCTAGTGATGGCCGGCTACAACGATTCAAAACAAGATATGGAATTCGACTGCTGTCTATATCTGGTGAAAAATTATTAGCACAACCACAATTAGTGCAACCATTCAAAGAAAAATTGATGAAAACAATTACCGAGCTAGATTTAAGAAAGGAACAAATTTACAACGCACGTGAAAGTGGCCTTTATTGGAAAACGTTACCAGAGAAAACCTATGCTGCATTATTTGAAAAATCTGCCCCGGGAAGAAAGCCGGAGAAACAACGAATAACGTTTCTAGCCTGCACTAATGCTAATGGTTCACACAAAATAAAGCCACTGGTAATTGGGAAAGCAAAAAATCCGCGCTCATTTAAAAATGTTATTATCCCTGTTGATTATGACTGTTCAAAAACTGCTTGGATAACTATCAGTATATTCCTGAAATGGTTCCACAGGTGCTTTGTCCCTTAGGTATGACAATCAATTATCACAAATGCCCCAATCATTATTTGAAGATGTGTTTTCAATTTGTAGGTAAAAGGTTTCCTAAAACAACAGAAGCTTCCAATAAAAGCGTTGTTACTATTGGATAATGCACCAAGTCATCCTCCGGAGCAACAACTGAGGAGCAGGGATGGGTCAATTTTCGTCATGTAGATGCCGCCCAACGTAACACCGTTAATTCAACCGATGGACCAGAATATAATAAGACTTACCAAACTATACTATAGGAAGTTTCTACTTTCGTCTGTCTTATCAAAGAATCCTGAAAACTTATCTGAGGCTTTAAAAAAAGTAACATTACGAGAAGCTGTTTTAGATTTACATATGGCCTGGAATGAACTTAACCAGCAAACTATTCAAAAATGTTGGAACAACCTCTTTTGTACCAATAATGCAGATGATGAAGAAGACGATGTCCCCTTAAGCGTAATTAGAGAACGTTTGCGATCCAATAATGATAATGTTATTAGTGTGTCATTGGATGTTGTTGATTTATTGAAAACAGTGAATCCCAACTTTGTACTCTTGCTGATATTAATTTATGGAACGAAGATAAGCATACGAATGATGCTGATAAGGAGGAGGATATGGACAGTGAGGATGATGAGAACGATCCCATTGAAGTCAGAAGTGTAGTGACTGACGCGCAAGCTATACAAGTTTTTAACCAAGCTTTAGATTGGGATGGAAGAAAAGAAGTTTCATACATGGATATTTAAGTTCTTCGTAAATTTCGGGCGCAGGCATTGGAAGACAATGCTAAGCGCAAATTTACGCAAACAAAAATTGTTAATTATTTTTCTTCTAATTAAAAAAATACTTGTCGCTGTTAGAATATTTGTTTATTTTGTTATAAATAGTATGTTGTAACGGTTTCACCGTCCCATCGTATTTATTAAATCACTTCTCGATTATCATTTCATTAATCCCATCTCTAGCTTTTTTACTTGGAAAAATTTCCGCTTGGAGCGCTTGATGCGGAGTTCCTGATCTGCGAGCTTCCTCGCGTTTCCTTTTCACTTGAGCCGCCGATCTAGCAAGAGCTAAGAATTTTGTTCTCTGTAGCATGACGTCGTATAGCACCATGTGCTAGAATTTTGTAGAATGTGTGTCCGAATAGGACAAAATGGTGAGTTTTATAATACTATACAGTTTTATTGCTGGATCTGCCTGTAGTTTATAGATAATCGATATGTAAGTGCTTTATTTCTTGTACGATTTTAAAACATCCATCGAACGTCATTTTCGACTACTTCGATCATTCGCCATAACTTTAATCAAATCGAGGTGGAAATCGATCCACATCGATTTTACCTCTGTGTGCGTATATATATTCATAGTTCAGTGAAATTATAAGTACGTTGATTATGATTATTCGATATTTGTGTTTTTATATCAGAAGCATGTGGAGACATTTTTGATGACCACCATCTTGTTTTACGCTTTTTTTTTTGCTATTTCATGATTTTATTTTATGAAAGGCATTTCCAATTTTCGGTTTGATTCTATCAAACTATGTAATGTAATTCTAACCTAGAAAATCGTTGGTTCTCTTTTGAGGCAGACTGAGATTGGAAATGCACACGGTTCTTTTTCAGATTGGGGCCACCCCCTTTCTATTTCCCTTTCCCTTTCGATTTGTGTTTGACTTTGCTTTTGCCTTTGTCTTTGACTTTGCATTGCTTGGCCTATCACTTCACCCATGCATGTGCCTTGGCAGCGCCATCACCTTTAAGTTCAACTTCGCCTACATATTAAAAAATACTCAACAGATATGCGATGAATTTGTACAATTCTTTACTGACATAGGCGAAAATTTAGCAAGTAATATACAAGCAAATGTACAAAATACTCAGCCTCCAAAAAGAACTTTGAACTCATTTATTTTGGATAAAGTCGAGCAATGTGAAGTATACACCACTGTTATGTCCTTAAAAAATCGGAAAAGTCCTGGGTTCGATGGTATTAAAAGCGAGCATTTGAAAATTATAGCCGAGGACATAACAGAACCACTCACTTACCTAATCAACAAATGCTTTGAATCTGGCATATATCCCTCAATTTTAAAAAAAGGTAATATAATACGGATACATAAATCAGGAACAAAAACAGATGTTAACAACTATAGACCAATATCAATAATATCCAGTGTAGCAAAGGTTTTTGAAAAAGTTTTATCTACTAGAATGATTCGATACCTCACAAAATTCAAAATTTTAAGTGACAATCAATATGGATTTACAGAAGGGAAGGCTACATCGGACGCAATAACTAAAATTGTAAATCAAATACATCAAAATATTGATAACAGAATCCCTTCAATCTGCATTTTTGTTGATTTAAAGAAAGCTTTCGATACAGTTAATCACAAATTATTATTAGAAGCATTGGAGAGAATTGGTTTCAGAGGAAACGCGTACTCAATGATCGAAAGTTATTTGTCAAATCGCCCACAATCTGTGCAGATATCAGGATCATTTAGTAAAGAAATGTATATTAAGTGTGGTGTCCCACAAGGAACTGTCTTAGGTCCGCTGTTATTCAATATATATTTAAATGATATTTTCCAAATTAATTGTGTTGGCAAAATAACTAGTTTTGCAGATGATACTGCAATATTATATGAAGGCACTGACTGGTCTGATCTGAAAAATGTAATTGAAAATGATTTTATCAAAATTATTCGGTGGTTTAACAGTAGAAAGTTAAGCAATAACTACTCTAAAACACATTTTTTACCATTTGGATCTTATGCTAGACATCTGCCAAATTACACAAATTTCTCCTTCAATATTAATGATCAAAAAATGCAAATTAATAGAGTGCCCAACATAAAATACCTTGGAGTGGTCTTGGATCCTCACTTACGATGGGACATCCATGTCAATTATATTTTAAAGAAAGTTAGATTTGTATCCTACAAAATTAAATACCTTGGGAATATATTGACAGAAAAATATCTTCGAACATTATACCATGCACTGATTCAGCCTCATCTCACATATGGTATATTAGCATGGGGAGCTGCATGTTCCTCACATATCTATAATTTAGATGTTTTTCAAAAAAGTATTCTAAAAATGATATTTAAAAAACCGAAACTTTATCCCACTGAAAAATTATATGCAGATGTTCGAATGTATGATATAAGACAGCTTTATTTCTTACACAGTATCACTCACTACCATAAATTTGTAAACACCGACCAAAAAATTAAACATAATCATTATACCAGGTACAAAATTCGTGGCACAGTAGTTCCTCAACCGCATAAATCTATAATGCAGCGATCATATCTCTATTTAGCGCCTAAATTTTATGAAATTATACCTAAGGACTTAAAAGATTTACGTTTCGGAAATTGTTTCAAAAGAATTTTAAAAAAGTGGCTACATTCTATATCTAGGACTGAAATTCATAAACTCATAAATACGAACATCAACTAAATACATAATCTACTGTAGCTAATTTTTGTCCTTTTTTGTCATTTGCATTCTACAGTTTCAACTTAAATTTATTGGTCCATGTACAGGCGATGCCTTCTATTGGGCCTGTTTTGATTTTATATTTATTTACTCATATTGTTTGTTATCTTTGTACATTGAGTGAATAAATATTATTATTGTTATTATTATCTAGCTCTGAAGCCACTAAATGTGAGGTCACCCCTCATAACTGGGACCTCCACTTCAAGCACCTGGCCATCCTCGCTTCAGTCCAGTAAAAAATGGACCAGCGAAAGATTTAAAACTTATTTTGTTCTTTAAAATTGCAATGTAATGAAAATGCTTTTTTTGTTAAATAAAATCTGTTAAATTTTTGTGTTCTGTTTGTTCTTCTATCCTCTAGCCATGCCATGGTCGACACACAGCTACATGCCTGTAGATGTCTTCATGCCACCGACTGAGCTACCGGAAGCTAATGCTAACCGCCTTTCTGTGATTGTGCAGAAAAGTTGGAATCTTCATTGCATTCCATCTTTTCTGGACTTGTTGCGGAAAGGAAGCGTTACAATGTATTAAACGTTTCTTTTAATAAATCAAATATTATATAAATCACGTTCCCTAATGTAAACATTTCGATAATGTGAACCACACTTGGATTAAATTAGTTTACATTATCGAGCGTCTGCTATATTCTATCGTATCTCCTCTCTCGTATACATTGAACTCAAGGTGTATAACGAATTCTTTTTCAGATTGAAAAGCTCGTCCACGTCTCGAATAAACAACAACTCGAAACCGAAGAATAAGCCGCAACGCGCGTGCTCGCCGGTAGAAAATCTCCGCAAACAACTGCAAAAATTGGAAGACCTCGAGGACCAGTTTCCAGAGAACTCGCATTCCGATACGTACCATTTGCGGTACCCGTTTTCGGACGGGCAGAAGTTCGAGGGCAGTTCCGAGTTGGAATTCTTCAGGCATCGGATACATCTGGAGAGGGATTCGATCAAGAGGGCCAAGGAAAGTTTGAGGAGTCAGAAGACGCTGTTTCAACAGAGACAGAAGGAGTTGAAGCTGAAGCATGGCAGTATGGCGAGGCACACGTTGCAGCAACTGTGTCAGGTATGTTTTTGTTCGTTTAAGATTTATTGCTGCAATAGGAAGGTTCGACATTTTTCGTATTTCTCTTATTTTGATTAAAATCGAGGGATCTTGTTATTAAAAAACGGTCAAAGAAAACGTACCTGTACGCGAGACTAGACCGCCTGACGTCAGTAGCCAGACACGTGCTGTCGCCCTCACAGAGTACTTGTATCTTGTATTGTCTTGTATACGGAGTGAAGAGTATACGAATACGAATTTGTGTACTTTATTTTTGCTAGCACAATGCTCCAAAGTTACCTATCAGAAATTTACCCCCATGTGCTTAAAAGTAAATTGACTGCTGGACCTGATCAAATCCCATCTTTTATTGTTAAGAGATTGTATCAGGAAATTAGTTCATCCTTTACGGGTTATCTTCAATTTAATCCTAACAACGACTGTTTTCCCCGATAAATGGAAAATTGCCAAAGTTTGCCCAATTCCAAAGTCAAAAAATTATCACTGTATCAGTGAATATAGGGCTATATCTATACTCAATAATTTTGCAAAACTCTTGGAGACCGTACTGTACAACCGCATTTACCTGTCCACTAAAAATAATATTTCCATCGACCAACATGGTTTTATAAGGCAGCGTTCAACACTAACAAACTTAATGGTATTTAGCCAATACTTGTGCGAAAGATTAGGCAATAGAGGACAGGTAGATATGGTGTACACCGATTTCTCCAAGGCCTTCGATAGGGTCAGCCACAGTATTTTGCTCCGAAAGCTTGAGTACCTGGGCTTCAACAACATTTACTTAGCGCTCTTAACATCATATCTGTTTGAAAGGAAACAGTATGTTTTTTATAATGGCTACATATCACATGTTTATGTCTCAACCAGTGGCGTACCACAGGGTTCGAATTTAGGACCACTGTTGTTCATATTGTTTGTGAATGATCTGTGTGAATCTTTGGCTTGTTCTAAGTTAATGTTTGCAGACGACCTAAAATTTTATTCATCCGTTTCGTGCTTGGAAGACTGTGCATTTGTTCAAGGTCAAATAAATAAATTGCAAAGCTGGTGTGCCAAGAATCAACTTCATCTTAATATAAGTAAGTGTAAAGTAGTAACTTTTTCAAGGAAAACCAACCCAATGGTATATAATTATACAATGATCCAACATGTTCTTGAGCGCAGTGAAACTGTGAAAGACTTAGGTATCTACTTTGATCAACATCTAACCTTTAATGAGCATATCAATCAAATCATATCAAGTGCTTACCGAACCTATGGCTTCGTTATCAGGAATTGTAAATCTTTTGACGTTTTGACTTTGCAGACATTATACTTTAGCTTGGTTAGGTCTAAGCTTGAATATGGATCTTTGATATGGAGTCCGATTTACAAGCAGTATATTGATGTTGTTGATAAACTTCAAAAGAAATTTTTAAAATTTTTATGTTTTAAGATCGATGGCATATATCCTACTAGAGGTACAGAATACAACATCCTTCTTCATAAATTTGGCATTCAATCCTTAGAACAACGGCGTCAGCAATCAGCAGTTATAGTTTTATATAAATTACTGCATAATCTAATAGACTGCCCTACAATACTTTCACAAATACAGTTTCTGGTGCCACGACTAACATCAAGGTATAATGTTCCTTTTTTATGTCAAAGAGCTCAAACAAACTTATTGTCGAAAGCGCCTGTCAACATGATGTGTGTGAATACGAATAAAATAGCCGATGTATGTGACATATTCTTATATAGCATAGGTGAATTGAAGTGCAAATTGCGTGCTCACTTTTGATTTATCTTACGTTTCTTATTTTTAAGCTGTAACTATATGTATTTTTTGTTATTGATATATGAATTATTATTGTTTTTTTTTTCTTAACAAGCTACCTCATGGTGTTTTTTTTTATAGTAGTTTGCTCTGTAAATGGTGTTAAACTGTTGGGCAATAAACGCTTATTATATGTGAATGCGGAAATGGTGTACGAGTTTTTGGCAAACAATGCAAATTTAAATGAACCTCGGAGCAGCGGTGTTAAAGTAGTTCGGTCAGTACCTATATGAAGGTAATTTTTTTTGTTTAGCTCCAATTTCTCCGCAAAAATTAATCCTGCTTTGCTTTAGACTATTGAAAGCTAATAATAAAGGGTTGTCCAATAGGGACGCAGGAAAGTAAACGTCAATTTGACATAGACGCCATCTTTGTTTTCTGTCACCGACATGTCATTTTGTTAGTTGAATGTTTACCATTGATCGCTATGGAGTCGTATTCGATTGAAGACCGCATTAAAGTTATTCAAATGGTGCAAAAATAAAAAACACGTTTCGCGCGCTTCGTGAGTATTTCGATCGCAACAACCGCCCAAACGAAACAACCATCGGTCGTCTGGTGCGTAAATTCGAGGCAACAGGTTCTGTGGCAAATCTGCCAGGCTCTGGCCGGCCAAGGAGCGTTCGCACACCGGAAAATATTGCTGTTGTGAAGGAGAGTGTGAGAGACGATCCGAAACAATCAACAACGCGTCGATCCCAAGAATTGGGCATTTCGAGAACCGGTTTGCTCCGCATTCTCCACAAGGATTTGAATGTACACGCCTACAAGATCCAATTGACGCAAGAGCTGCTCCAGGGGGAAATGTTGCATACACTTTAAAATTTCACAGCGTATCATTGAATTATCTAAGAAAAAAAGTAAACAGTTTAAAATCAAATAACAACTGTGCCGAAATCACTACTAAAAACGTGCTGAAAAACTGTTTCGAAATTTTGGGATATCCTGTATTAAATTTGATCAATTGTTCACTGAGAAGCAGTTCTTTTCCTGAAAATTTGAAATGCTCTACAATAACACCAGTTCCCAAAATAAAAAATTCTAAAAGATGCAGCGATATGAGACCAGTAAATGTGTTACCAGACATTGAAAAATTATTAGAGTCCATAGTGCATGACCAATTAATGCAGTTTAAAGAAGAAAACAAAATTTTAGTGGAGGCGCAAGCAGGCTTTCGAAAAAAATATTCCACAGAAACAGCTTTCCAGTTGGTAACTGAGAATTGGAGAAGAGCCATAGACTCAGAAGAAGTTGTCATTGCAGTATTTTTGGATTTGAAGAGGGCATTTGAAACGATTGATAGAGATATTTTGTTAGGTAAATTGAAGGCATATGGTTATAACACGAAGTGTTTTAGATTGGTTTAGAAATTATTTGTCTAAAAGGATGCAAGTTACAAAAGTTAATGACACTATTTCATCAAAAATTTAAAATACGTTGGGTGTTCCACAGGGCAGTATCCTGCGACCACTTCTTTTTATTTTATACATAAATGATTTACCTGCCATAGTCAAAAAATGCAAAATTCAGATTTTCGCCGATGACACTATGATTTATATAGGGTGTCCCAAAATTAACGCAAGATTTGAATTTGCCGCCATTTGTGCAGTGAAGTGTTGGCAACCCTGAAAAAAAGCAATTTGACAGCTAACAGTATAGGGTTATGAAAAATGGAGCGTTACACGATAGAACAACGTGTCTTCATTATTAAAGAATATTTCAAAAATAGTGAAAGCTTGGCGGCTGCAGTTCGAAAATTTCATACAAAATATGGCCGGAATAGTGTTTTAACTTCGTCAACTGTGAAGAGATTAATTGAAAAATTCATGGAGACTGGATCCGTTGGAGACGCCAAACACACTGGTCGTCCAAAAACAAGCCGTTCAAATGTGAATATCGAAGCAGTGCGTGAGAGTGTTGCGGACAATCCAGGAACCTCAATTCGACGTCGTGGACAAGAATTGCAAATGTCAAGAACCTCTCTACAGCGTATACTCACCAAAGATCTGTGTCTTCATGCTTACAAACTTCAATTAACACAACAATTGAAGCTTAATGACCATGCAGAGAGAAGAGAGTTTGTTGAATGGATTATTGAACATCAACAAATGGACCCTGATTTTTCAAGCAAAATCATCCTAAGCGATGAAGCACATTTTCATCTTGATGGCTTTGTCAATCGCCAAAATTGCCGCATTTGGGGTTCGGAGAACAGACGTGTGATTGTCGAAAAAGAAATGCACCCACAACGCGTGACTGTCTGGTGTGGATTTTGGGCTGGAGGCATAATTGGGCCATATTTTTTTGAAAATGATGCTGGTCAAGCAGTGACTGTTACTGGTGCTCGATATCGCGACATGATTACACAGTTCTTTCTGCCAAAATTGAATGATATTGATGTACCCAATATGTGGTTTCAACAAGACGGTGCCACATGTCATACAGCCCGTGAAACAATTCAATTACTGCATGAGACATTTCCCGGTCGTGTACTCTCTCGTTTCGGTGATCAAAATTGGCCTCCTAGATCGTGTGATTTAACACCATTAGACTTCTTTTTATGGGGTTATTTGCAATCACAAGTCTATGTCAACAAGCCCACAACCACCCGTGCATTAAAGGAGGAGATTCAACGCTGCATCAACGAAATTCAGCCACATTTATGCAGAAGGGTCATGGAAAATTTCGACAAAAGAGTGCGCATGTGCATGCAAAGCCGTGGAGGCCATTTGTCCGATGTGTTATTCCATACATAACCCTATCCTATGTACTTTATGAGTCAATAAAAATATAACTATTAAAAGACTAAAAATGGCATTTTCTATTTAATTCAAATCTTGCGTTAATTTTGGGACACCCTTTATAAGTACTAAAAATATTCAGTCTGGTATCTCTTATATAAATGAAGACTTGAAGCTTGTCTCAAAATGGTTAGCATCTAACAGACTAAAATTAAATGCAAGTAAAACGAAAGCCTTGTTAATCGGAAAAAAGCAATGTACAAATGTTCAACTGAATATTGATGGTGAAGATATTGAATTCGTAGAAAATTTCAAATGCCTGGGGGTTTTTGTTGACTCTCGATTAATTTTTGATATTCATTATGAAAAAGTTATAAATAAGATTAGTAGTAAAGTGGGATATTTATCGAGAGTTTCTGGATGTCTGAGTTCATATAGCAGAAAAATTATCTATGATACCATCATTTTTCCAAATTTCTTGTACTGTTCGACTATTCTATATTTAGCAAATAATTCCATTTTTGAAAGACTGCAAATTTTACAAAATAAGTGCATGAGAATAATACTAAATAAAGATAAATATACTCCAATTAGGCAAATGCTTAGCAAATTAAAATGGCTCAATGTAAAAAATTTTATCAAATATCTTGTAATGATATTCATTTATAAAGTAAAAAATAATATATTTCCATCAAGTCTAACTAATATAACATCATCAAATGTCGACCATCATTTACATACTACCAGAAATAAAGATGACTTCCATTTAATGACCAAAAAGTATAACATATGCTATAAATCTGTATTCCATCAAGGGTTGATTGAATATAATAAATTATACTCGGAGATAAAAGACCAGAAAGCTTTGTCAAAATTTAAAGTAAAATTGAGAAATCACTTGTTAAATCTACAATTATAGGTTGCCCAACATTTACATCATACACCATATGGCTTGAATTTACTAGTTCTAAGTTGTTTACAATTATTTTGTTTATGTAGCCAAATGTGCTTAATAAATCTTTCTACTACTACTACTAAAATAACAAAGCTTAGGCCTGCATCGGGGATGGGCCATGAAGCCAGGTTCTAAACGTTGACTAATATTGCGCTTAGAATAACTACGATCTCGGCAGTAAGCTTCGCTGTCACTACTTTCAGTACTGCTTCCACTGGCTTCATACGAATTATATTCGAATGTTTCTGTTATTGCGGGACTTTCAAGATTTGCCCGTTCACTTTCCACTTGCAAACGTTTTTTTGGCCGCTCTGAAATCTGTTTAGCAAGCGATACAGCAACATCCATTACTTTCCGTTTTTGCGAGATTTGAACTGACTTGCTTCTAAAATGTATACTTTATCTGAAGTCACTTGAAATAGCATGAAAACCTTTGGTCGGCGCGTCCTTTGTAATTTCATGACGTATCATAGGCGTGCGGTCATTTATTTAGAACGATAATAATAATGTTTTTATATCACAATAAATGGATTTTACTATCTTCTTATTTTTTTGATTTGGGATAAAAAATACTTATATTGGGAGAGTTTAATTTATGTTGACTGAAAGTTAAGAAATGGAAAAATTACAGAATTCCAACGTTTGACATAGGCAAATATTTACATAGCAGGTAGGTATATAAAAAGGTATATAAAAACTTACATTATAGGTATTTATATATCATCCTCGCCTTCGGAGCTGTCGCTAGAGTCATCTTGTAGAGGAATTACAACGGGATTTACAGGAGGCAAAACACAATATTCATTTTCTTTTTCAATAATATGCCTAGAACACTGTTTCCATAGGTCTGTGGCAGCAATATGAGATACTGCATCTCTTATTGTGGCCAATAGCGATTCACTTAATTGAGGGGTCTGATTATGTTTTCTTACTTTTTTTTTAAAGCAGCCCAGACCAACTCAATCGGGTTAAAAATGCAGTAATAGGGAGGTAGACGTAATACTTCATGGCCATTTTGCTGAAGCAGATTGTCAACAACATACTCTTTTTCAAATTTTTGTCTTTTAATAAGATCCAATAATATGGCTTTGGTTGATTTTTGTGGTATTTCCATTCCCTTATCCTTCATAAAATCAATAATATCTTGTTTTTTTGTGCCTGTATTCGGAATTTTGTTTTTCTGTCGGGAATGGTATGGCGCATTGTCCATAATAATCACTGAATTTGGGGAAATGTTTGGTATTAACTGCTGCTCTATCCACTTTTCAAATAAGTCGGAGGTCATGTCCTCATGATAGTCGGCACATGATTCTTTGATATTTTTGGCAGATAACAGCAAGGCATTAGGTATAAATCCATTTTCACTGCCAGCATGGAGAATAATGATTCGTTTTCCACGGTTGCATGGTGCATTTAAAATGCACTTGTTGCTGTCGTCAACCCAGCCGTACTGCACAACATCATGGGTATCATACCACGTTTCATCCAGGTAAATCAGATTTCTTTTCTGCTCTCTATAGATTTTAACTTTGTGCAAAAATTCTTGGCGCAATTCAACGATTCGAGACGACTCCATAATGACCATTCCTTTATCTAATTTTTTGTATTGAAAACCAGACAGTTTTACAATACAGTGCAGTGAGTCTAAGCATTTGTAATTATAAAAATCTTCAGGATAATCTTTTAATTTATCCCGTATCATTTCCAACGTGGGCACCAAATTTTCTTTATAAAATCCGTATATTATACGACGAATATCTTCCTGAAAACCCACGTCTATTCTTTTTAATTTTTGCCCTATGCGCTTTCTGTGGAAGGAATGGTTGACTACATCTCCCCTTTTTATAACCCGATAAATGGTAGACCGACTGATTTTTGTCAGGATACAAATTCTGTTTAAAATTTGATTTTGCGAGGAATCTGGATTTTCGTTTTTCAGACAATCATACATATTTAGGATTACTCTTTGGGTCTGTTCCTCTAAATCTTTATGAAAGAATTCTGCCTGCACAGGTTCATCAACCATCTCCTCGTGGCTTGGAGCATTTTCCCAAGGTCTCCAAAGAGCCATATTTAGGACACACAAGAACAATCAACACAACAATTAAATCAACAAGTAAACTGAGTATTCAAAAGTCAAAAACACACAAACTAATAAAATCTATGAAAAAACACGGACAGACTAAAGAAAACACGTTTATTCACCGCTACACGGCACTGGCTAAACTGTTTCAATTTTCAGTAGCCACCTGCACTTGTTCGGAGCTCTGAAATACACGCTTTCTCATTGGCCATGTCCACGCATAGGCGTGCTTTACTCCACGTGGACCGGTGAAACTGCCTTTGATCTTATACGGAGGATATTTGCTGCGAAATTTTTCGATTTTTGCAGCAACAGAGCGTGTTAAATATAGATATATAAAACGCACCCGGTATTTCACAGTGTTTCAAGTGACTTCAGATAAAGTATACCTGTTTGGTTTGGCATGCCTTGTCACATACCTGTGACTGAACTTCTACTGTTGAAGGTTCAGGCAGTTCATCATGCAAATATTTGGCGATGCCTTTCTGCCTTGCAATTTTTTCCACCGTTTTGCTCCAAATTACAGCACTTCTATGTCATTGAATATGAATTAACATCGTCCTTTCCACTTGCAGGAGGAGAAGGAGCTGACCGACATGGAGGTGAACCTGCATCGGACGCGCAGTCTCTTGGGCGAAAAAGTGATACGTCTCCGCCATCTCGAACAATCTCTCCAAAGGGCGAACCTGCAAAGCGAGCAGAGGGCCGAAGACGCGACGCTTAGCGATTTGTCTTCGCACAGCGCGAGTTCAGGCATCAGCAGTACCGAGTTTGCCGCGAACGAGTTCGCTAGAGGTTGCGAAAAGTACCAGGAGTCTTCGGAGATTATGCAGAGCCTGGAGAATCTCAACTCGGAGATCAGGGAGATATGGGATGTGTTGAGGACGCAGCAACAGCAGAATAACATCGCTAAAGGTGAGAAATAATAAAATAGTAAATAACTTCTTTTTCACTATACGTGTATACATGCGTGTATATATCCTGGAACTACGTTTGCGCTAAGGCAGAAAGTGCTCTAAAAATCGCCCCCTTATTGACATTCAATTAGTTTAGTTGTACTCCCCAGCAAACATCACTCTTTTATGAACCCGTGCAACTGTCTTCCGTTTATTTTCTCTGCAGTAACGCCCATCCCGCCGCTAGCGATGTACCCGGACCTCGGCTGGCCAATGTTAGCCGCAGCGGCGGCCGGCTCTTCAACGGCCCCACACTCGATCCCCACGCTTGCCGACCGCCTCCACACGTACAGGCAACAGGTCGCCGTGTTGGCCAACGCGCAGAGTACGATGGTGACCGCCGCGGGGGCAGGCGGGGAACAAGCTGTCACCACGCATCTGGTGGAACGTACGAGGAACCTGAAGCATTGGTTGAGACAAACTACGTCCGCGGCGACGAACGGGGAGGCGGCCGCAGCTGGACAGGACGGCGGACATAGCAAACCACCGCAGGCTACGCTGTAAACGCGCGAACCCAGGTTCGAACGTTTGACGTTAGATTGAGTAATGTTGGAATATCGAGAGGTAAAAGTGTTTTTAGGATTCATCCTTAACGAGGTTCATTACACTGGAAAGTTTCGGTACCCCACGATCATTTCTGTGACCTTAAATTTGACGTTGTTCCTTCAAGTTCGTGTGAAGGTCAAGTCGATTTTTTTAAATGGAAGCTCTCATTTTTGACCCCGTAAATGAAAAGAGCGGAAAATGTTACGTTCAATTATGGTCCTGACCTTTCTTGAATTTTGACCTTAGAAGGCATGATCAAGGTCAAATCCACGTAAAAATGTTTTTAGGATTCATCCTTGACGAGGTTCATTATACTGAGAAGATCCAGAACTCCACAATCATTAGTGTGACCTTAAATTTAACCTTGTTCCTTCAAAGTCGTTTGAATGTCAAGTCGATTGTTTAACTGGAACCGCCCATTTTAGACCCCGTAAATGAGAATAGAGGTGCATTTTACGTTCAATTATGATCTGGACCCTTCTAAAATTTTGACCTTAGGAGGTCATGATCAAGGTCAAATCCAGGTAAAAATATTTTTAGGATTCATCCTTGACGAGGTTCATTATACTGAAAAGTTCCGGAACCCCACGATCATTTGTGTGTCCTCAAATTTGACCTCATTCCTTCAAGGTAGTTCGAAGGTCAAGCCAATTTTTTAAATGGAACCCCCCATTTTTGACCCCGTAAATGAAAAAAGTGGAAAATTCTACGTTCAAATATGGTCTTTACCATTATTAAATTTTGACCTTACGAGGTCATGATCAAGGTCAAATCCAGTTAAAAATATTTTTAGGATACATCCTTGACGAGTTTCATTATACTGAGAAGATCCAGAACTCCACAATCATTAATGTGACCTTAAATTTAACCTTGTTCCTTCAAAGTCGTTTGAATGTCAAGTCGATTGTTTAACTGGAACCGCCCATTTTAGACCCCGTAAATGAGAAGATAGGTGCATTTTACGTTCAATTATGATCTGGACCCTTCTTAAATTTTGACCTTACGAGGTCATGGTCAAGGTCAAATCCAGGTAAAAATATTTTTAGGATTCATCCTTGACGAGGTTCATTATACCGAGAAGATCCAGAACTCCACAATCATTAGTGTGACCTTAAATTTAACCTTGTTCCTTCAAAGTCGTTTGAATGTCAAGTCGATTGTTTAACTGGAACCGCCCATTTTAGACCCCGTAAATGAGAATAGAGGTGCATTTTACGTTCAATTATGATCTGGACCCTTCTTAAATTTTGACCTTAGAAGGTCATGGTCAAGGTCAAATCCAGGTAAAAATATTTTTAGGATTCATCCTTGACTAGGTTCATTATACTGAAAAGCTGCGGAACTCCATGATCATTTGTGTCACCTTCAATTTGACCTTGTTCCTTCAAGGTCATATGAATGTCAAGTCGATTGTTTAACTGGAATCGCCCATTTTAGACCCCGTAAATGAGAAGAGAGGTGCATTTTACCAGATCCTTTTTTACAATTTAAACTTCTCTAACTAAGTAAGGATCGCCTAAGGACAACAATTAGGCCACGGTTAGGTAGGTAAATTACAGAGGATAGTTACTCTGAGGATATCTAGCTAATCAAAACTAAAATTTTAACCCAGAGGTTTTCAAAAAGTCAATTATCAGACACGTAACATCAAGTCTATTCAAAGCTAGAATGTGGAGAACATTAAATGGTGAGATAAGGCCTAAGCCAATCAGATTAAGATAGAGTCGATCACAGTATGGAGATAACTTCAAACAGCCAAAAAATAGATGATCCAAGTTCCCCTCAATGTTGCAGTGTTCACATAAGTTGGAATCAATAATACGGAATCTAGCTAGATGTGTTGGATAAGCTCCATGCCCGAGTTTTGCTCTAATAATCATAGATATGTATTTACGAGGAATTCTAAATTTGTTGTGCCAGTACGTTGTTGGGATATCAGGATGTATTAAAGTATACCTCGTTGGGTTCGTAAAGCAGAATTCCTTCCATTCTAAAGTCGAGCTTTTAAATCGGATTTGTTTGGATAAAATATTATAATCTTCTTTGGAAATTTGTGTCTGTAATACAGATCCTGTGTAGATGCTTGATTTTGCGAGTTGGTCAACTTTTTCGTTGAATACGATTCCACAGTGTGCCTTGACCCATACAAATGCAACCTTGCTTCCACTTTCTTTCAAGTGACAGATTCTACGTTTTATTTGATTTATGTGACAATTGCTGGTCCTTGTGCAATCATAATTTTGTAAGGAGGAGAGAACGGAGAGACTATCGGAAAAAATTGTAAATTCTTTCAAGTGACTACTGCTTGCATGTTTCAGAGCTTGGATAATAGCCACTGCTTCGGCTGAAAAAATGGATACTTGGTCGGGAAGTTGGATTAACTGTATGTAGGTCAGCAGTGTATATATTGAAAATGATAGGACTGAGGACTGCACCTTGCGGCAGGCCAGCAAAACTATAACGTGGTCCTATTTTTTTGTTTGTATTATCTCTTACAAAAACTGCTCTATTGTGATATAAGTTAGTTATGATGTAGCACAAATGAGGAGGGAGCCCGTATATTACCAATTTTGTTCTCAGCAGTGTTAAGTCGATCTGGTCATAAGCAGAAAAGCAACCTTGAATGTCACTAACAATAACAGCTAAGGCATCGGTAGTACCTAGACCTTTCCTAAAGGCAAACTGTTGATTTGGTAAGGGATGAAAACGCAGCCACCATTCCAACCTATTTTTTATCATCCTCTCAAAGGTTTTGAGAATGCAGGACAGGAGAGAAATAGGACGATAAGAATCTGACAGTTTTTATTGGGCTTTGGTATCGGAACCACAACGATTTTTTTCCACTCCTCAATGATCTCACCTCTTAAAAAAACGTCATTGAATATTTCTAGAAGGTAATCCTTAGCATTCGATGGAAGGTTACTGAGCATCGGGTAGCGGATTTCATCATATCCAGGGCATGAATTTTGTAGTAAAACGCACGAGTTGGCAGTTAACCAAAGACTGATTTATTTGAGGACACACAATGAGTACAGAGTGTCACATTGGTGACGCTAGATGGCGCAATCATTTACATTTTTGATATCAATCACAACAAATTTATTGATTTACTAATGGCACATTCCAATTCGGCTTCACAAAAAGGAGTACTGAAGAGGTGACTTTGCTGTACTGGGGGTGGTGTTCCCATATATGGAATGCATCAGCAGCGGAAAGTAGGGGTTCTCGACGATACGGCGACGGGCGTCAAGTTCACGTTGACGGCGATCTCTGATGTCTCTACGTCCTCTGACTTGACGGAGGGCAGGAGGTGGCTGTGCTTCAGCGAGTTCCTCGTTCCAGATACAACCAGGTATTGGGTTATGTTCGTAGAAAATGACCCTCAATTCGCGTGGCGTTGCTCGGTTTGACATAGCAACAACTGCACTGCGAAGGTTCTGAATTGTCAGATGATATGGAGATAATCCAGCTACAGGAACAAAAGGTGCATAAACAACGGTCTCATAAGAAACTTTTCCTACTGCGTTGATCAAAGCAGCAATAACTCCAAAGTTGCTCGGATTTCCGGCGTAGACTTCCTCAATCTCTCGAGTAGTCTGGTACATCCCAGGATCACGGACCGGGACATCGGTGTTGGCCAGGTACGGAAGCCCATTCTTCAGCGCGAGAGCAAATTGGCAAAGTGTGTATCGATATAATTGTGTTTCATCCATTGTATTCGCAATTTGGTCTCCGAGCACTGAAGCTAATTTCCGGTGCACTGCTTCTACTGTAAAACCAAGCCCACGGGTGGTGAGTGGCATTGGCACGGTCTTATTAACAGGCACTACAGACATAGATGCTTCGTACTTATCCGCAACATCAGCAAAGAGTCTCGCGTTCCGCGAGTTCTGCAATAACTTTTGCGTTGGTAGTTCTTCTAAAGTTCTGTGCGCGTTGCTGTCGCTTTTGTTTCCTCCCCATTGGTGGAGGCTTCTTCTCTCCATTCTCTTCAAGAACATGCGTTTTAGCGGTATCAAAGGCAGGCGACAATACTTCCATATTGTCGACTATTACCATTTTTTATGAGTTCACTGACTGATAACAAGTTTGTTGCGAGACTGGGTACACACAACAACAACACATCCCTCACTGTTATGTCATAATTGTAGTTTGTTGATATTTCTACATCACCTGAGCACAAAACTGGTACTTTTGTTTTGTCCGTAATGACTACTTCTGGGATATCCGACAAATATGTAGGGTTTTTCAGCCAATTTTCGTTCGCAGTCATGTGCATGCTCGCACCGGAGTCTATGTAGAAATCATTTTTACTGAACTCGCCACTGACAAAAACAACACTAAAGGCGTTAGTTTGTTTAATTTTCTCATTCTTTTGTGGACAATTACTCATATAATGGCCTGTTTGTTTGCAACGATAGCAGGTTATGTTTTTCATGATCTTAGAGTTTGACGGATTGTTGACAGCCATGTCTACCAGTGTTGCCATTCTGGTTCTGGCTTTTCTTCTTCTTCGAAGTCCGGATCGCTAGTGCTGAGTTCGTCGTTTCGGTCGAGTCGATAGTTTCCATATCGAGTAGCTTCGACTTGATGGAATCAGCGGTTATCATGATTCCGGAATATTCGATGGCCATGATCATCGGCATGAATCGTTCCGGCAAGCCGGCTAGCAACAAAGATCCAACCCATTCATCGTTGATCTCAAAACCTGTTCCACATAAACGTTGAGATGTTTCTACTATTTGTGTCACATAATTCGTCATGTTTTCATAATTTTCTAACCTTAGAGAAATCAGATGACGAAGCAAAGTAATCCTCCTCGAAAATCCTGAATCGTCGAACAAAGAATGCAATTTTGTCCACAATTCTTTCGTTGTCTTTGTCTCCTTTATGTGCACAAATAACGATGAATCGACAGTCAAAGCCAACTTAGCACGTGTTCTTGCGTCCAATAACCTAGCTTCAGCATCAGTTCCTTCTTGCTTGATAAACTGTTCTGCGCCTTCCAAAACTAGCAAGTTCTCGATCGCGAATGCCCAATCTTCGAAGTTTTCGCGTCCTTTCAGCTTCGGAAGGTTTGCAAGGTAGGTGGAACTCATTTTTGTTTACACACGCGGAATTTAACTATTAAAAACGACAAGAATTTCACTTTTTTTTTTTTACACTCGGATGTGGCCCATAACCTGTAGTATAACGCACGAGTTGGCAGTTAACCAAAGACTGATTTATTTCAGAAGGACACACAATGAATACAGAATATCACATTGTTAACGCTAGATGGCGCAATCATTTACATTTTTGATATTAATCACAACAAATTTATGGCACATTCCAATTCGGCTTCACAAAAAGGAGTACTGAAAAGGTGACTTTGCTGTACTGGGGGTGGTTCCCATATATGGAGTGCATTAGCAGCGGAAAGTCGGGGTTCTCGACGATACGGCGACGGGCGTCAAGTTCACGTTGACGGCGAACTCTGATGTCTCTACGTCCTCTGACTTGATGGAGGGCAGGAGGTGGCTGTGCTTCAGCGAGTTCCTCGTTCCAGATGCAACCAGGAATTGGGTTATGTTCGTAGAAAATGACCCTCAATTCGCGTGGCGTTGCTCGGTTTGACATAGCAACAACTGCACTGCGAAGGTTCTGAATTGTCAGATGATATGGAGATAATCCAGCTACAGGAACAAAAGGTGCATAAACAACGGTCTCATAAGAAACTTTTCCTACTGCGTTGATCAAAGCAGCAATAACTCCAAAGTTGCTCGGATTTCCGGCGTAGACTTCCTCAATCTCTCGAGTAGTCTGGTACATCCCAGGATCACGGACCGGGACATCGGTGTTGGCCAGGTACGGAAGCCCATTCTTCAGCGCGAGAGCAAATTAGCAAAGTGTGTATCGATATAATTGTGTTTCATCCATTGTATTCGCAATTTGGTCTCCGAGCACTGAAGCTAATTTCCGGTGCACTGCTTCTACTGTAAAACCAAGCCCACGGGTGGTGAGTGGCATTGGCGCGGTCTTACTAACAGGCACTACAGACATAGATGCTTGGTACTTATCCGCAACATCAGCAAAGAGTCTCGCGTTCCGCGAGTTCTGCAATAACTTTTGCGTTGGTAGTTCTTCTAAAGTTCTGTGCGCGTTGCTGTCGCTTTTGTTTCCTCCCCATTGGTGGAGGCTTCTTCTCTCCATTCTCTTCAAGAACATGCGTTTTAGCGGTATCAAAGGCAGGCGGCAATACTTCCATATTGTCGACTATTACCATTTTTTATGAGTTCACTGACTGATAACAAGTTTGTTGCGAGACTGGGTACACACAACGACAATACATCCCTCACTGTTATGTCATAATTGTAGTTTGTTGATATTTCTACATCACCTGAGCACAAAACTGGTACTTTTGTTTTGTCCGTAATGACTACTTCTGGGATATCCGACAAATATGTAGGGTTTTTCAGCCAATTTTCGTTCGCAGTCATGTGCATGCTCGCACCGGAGTCTATGTAGAAATCATTTTTACTGAACTCGCCACTGAGAAAAACAACACTAAAGGCGTTAGTTTGCTTAATTTTCTCATTCTTTTGTGGACAATTACTCATATAATGGCCTGTTTGTTTGCAACGATAGCAGGTTATGTTTTTCATGATCTTAGAGTTTGACGGATTGTTGACAGCCATGTCTACCAGTGTTGCCATTCTGGTTCTGGCTTTTCTTCTTCTTCGAAGTCCGGATCGCTAGTGCTGAGTTCGTCGTTTCGGTCGAGTCGATAGTTTCCATGTCGAGTAGCTTCTACTTGATGGAATCAGCGGTTATCATGATTCCGGAATATTCGATGGCCATGATCATCGGCATGAATCGTTCCGGCAAGCCGGCTAGCAACAAAGATCCAACCCATTCATCGTTGATCTCAAAACCTGTTCCACATAAACGTTGAGATGTTTCTACTATTTGTCACATAATTCGTCATGTTTTCATAATTTTCTAACCTTAGAGAAATCAGATGACGAAGCAAAGTAATCCTCCTCGAAAATCCTGAATCGTCGAACAAAGAATGCAATTTTGTCCACAATTCTTTCGTTGTCTTTGTCTCCTTTATGTGCACAAATAACGATGAATCGACAGTCAAAGCCAACTTAGCACGTGTTCTTGCGTCCAATAACCTAGCTTCAGCATCAGTTCCTTCTTGCTTGATAAACTGTTCTGCGCCTTCCAAAACTAGCAAGTTCTCGATCGCGAATGCCCAATCTTCGAAGTTTTCGCGTCCTTTCAGCTTCGGAACGTTTGCAAGGTAGCTGGAACTCATTTTTGTTTACACACGCGGAATTTAACTATTAAAAACGACAAGAATTTCACTTTTTTTTGTTACACTCGGATGTGGCCCATAACCTGTAGTAAAACGCACGAGTTGGCAGTTAACCAGACTGATTTATTTGAGAAGGACACACAATGAATACAGAATATCACATTGTTAACGCTAGATGGCGCAATCATTTACATTTTTGATATTAATCACAACAAATTTATGGCACATTCCAATTCGGCTTCACAAAAAGGAGTACTGAAAAGGTGACTTTGCTGTACTGGGGGTGGTTCCCATATATGGAGTGCATTAGCAGCGGAAAGTCGGGGTTCTCGACGATACGGCGACGGGCGTCAAGTTCACGTTGACGGCGATCTCTGATGTTTCTACGTCCTCTGACTTGATGGAGGGCAGGAGGTGGCTGTGCTTCAGCGAGTTCCTCGTTCCAGATGCAACCAGGAATTGGGTTATGTTCGTAGAAAATGACCCTCAATTCGCGTGGCGTTGCTCGGTTTGACATAGCAACAACTGCACTGCGAAGGTTCTGAATTGTCAGATGATATGGAGATAATCCAGCTACAGGAACAAAAGGTGCATAAACAACGGTCTCATAAGAAACTTTTCCTACTGCGTTGATCAAAGCAGCAATAACTCCAAAGTTGCTCGGATTTCCGGCGTAGACTTCGTCAATCTCTCGAGTAGTCTGGTACATCCCAGGATCACGGACCGGGACAGCGGTGTTGGCCAGGTACGGAAGCCCATTCTTCAGCGCGAGAGCAAATTGGCAAAGTGTGTATCGATATAATTGTGTTTCATCCATTGTATTCGCAATTTGGTCTCCGAGCACTGAAGCTAATTTCCGGTGCACTGCTTCTACTGTAAAACCAAGCCCACGGGTGGTGAGTGGCATTGGCGCGGTCTTACTAACAGGCACTACAGACATAGATGCTTCGTACTTCTCCGCAACGTCAGCAAAGAGTCGCGCGTTCTGCAATAACTTTTGCGTTGGTAGTTCTTCTAAAGTTCTGTGATCGTTGCTGACGCTTTTGTTTCCTCCCCATTGGTGGAGGCTTCTTCTCTCCATTCTCTTCAAGAACATGCGTTTTAGCGGTATCAAAGGCAGGCGGCAATACTTCCATATTGTCGACTGTTTCAGCGAAAATCGTACTGAAAATTTATGATTTGGACCCTTCTTAAATTTTGACCTTACGAGGTCATGGTCACGGTCAAATCCAGATAAAAATATTTTTAAGATTCATCCTTGACTAGGTTCATAATACTGAAAAGCTCCGGAACTCCACGATCATTTGTGTGTCCTCAAATTTGACCTTGTTCCTTCAAGGTCGTATGAGTGTTAAGTCGATTGTTTAACTGGAATCGCCCATTTTAGACCCCGTAAATGAGAATAGAGGTGCATTTTAGGTTCAATTATAATAATAATAATAATAATAATAATAATAATAATAATAATAATAATAATAATAATAAATGGCTTTATTCGAAGAGACAATGCATACAAAAATAATGTTCAACAAATAGGAATAATTGCTCTCGAATCTCAAGGGGGAGTTCACGACCTGCGTGCTCTTCCACTCATCCCTTGCTCTATTTTAAAATAGTGATATCAACTGTTACATGCCTACTACTAACTATATGAGAGCAGAAAAAAAAGCATGAGTACAAAATAAAAACAAATAACACTGAAAACATAAAACTGAAAATATTCCATCATATAATCATGAGATTCATCCAAAAAAGCTAAACGTTACAGTATTATCAGTGAAGTTAATTATACTTATCTAAAAGGAATCGTCTCAGAGCTGCCTTGAATTTGCAACCTTTCATATTTTTGATTCGCTGGGGGATGGAGTTGTATAATTTATAGATGTTGTAAGAGAAGCCACGTTCGAAAAAACATGTTCGATGGAATGGAGCAGAAATATTCTGTTTCGAACGAACATTGACAGAATGAAGACTTTCTCTAAACATGACTTTTTCATACAAATATGGCGGTGACTTGCTCGACAAAATATTATTGTAGAAACATAGTGTTAATAGTTCTGAACGCTGTTTCATGTTCAACCACTGTAAATCCTTCAGCTTATGACTAACTCTGTCATATTTCCTTATACCGAAAATGTACCTTATACATGAATTTTGAACACGCTGAATTCTAGATATCGTATCAGCATCCAAGCATGGATAATAGACAGGAGCACCATACGAAAACTGGGACAAAACCAACGTTTCGCATAGCATTCGTTTGATGTCTCTGCTAAGAAAGTGTCTATGAGGGTAAAGCAGCTTGAGTGCATAATACGCTCTTTGTATACATTTTGGACCCTTCTTAAATTTCGACCTTACAAGGCCATGGTCAAGGTCAAATTCAGTTAAAAATATTTTTAGGATTCATCCTTGACGAGGTTCATTATACTGAGAAGATCCAGAACTCCATGATCATTAGTGTGACCTTAAATTTAACCTTGTTCCTTTAAAGTCGTTTGAATGTCAAGTCGATTGTTTAACTGGAACCGCCCATTTTAGACCCCGTAAATGAGAATAGAGGTGCATTTTACGTTCAATTATGATCTGTACCCTTCTTAAATTTTGACCTTACGAGGTCATGGTCAAGGTCAAATCCTGATAAAAATATTTTTAGGATTCATCCTTGACGAGGTTCATTATACTGAGAAGATCCAGAACTCCACAATCATTAGTGTGACCTTAAATTTAACCTTGTTCCTTCAAAGTCGTTTGAATGTCAAGTCGATTGTTTAACTGGAACCGCCCATTTTAGACCCCATAAATGAGAAGATATGTGCATTTTACGTTCAGTTATGATTTGGACCATTTTTAAATTTTGACCTTAGGAGGTCATGGTCAAGGTCAAATCCAGGTAAAAATATTTTTAGGATTCATCCTTGACTAGGTTCATTATACTGAAAAGCTGCGGAACTCCACGATCATTTGTGTGACCTTAAATTTAACCTTGTTCCTTCAAAGTCGTTTGAATGTCAAGTCGATTGTTTAACTGGAATCGCCCATTTTAGACCCCGTAAATGAGAAAAGAGGTGCATTTTACATTAAATTATGATCTGGACCCTTCTTAAATTTTGACCTTAGGAGGTCATGGTCAAGGTCAAATCCAGTTAAAAATGTTTTTAGGATACATCCTTGACGAGTTTCATTATACTGAGAAGATCCAGCACTCCACAATCATTAATGTGACCTTAAATTTAACCTTGTTCCTTCAAAGTCGTTTGAATGTCAAGTCGATTGTTTAACTGGAACCGCCCATTTTAGACCCCGTAAATGAGAAGAGAGGTGCATTTTACGTTCAATTATGATCTGGACCCTTCTTAAATTTTGACCTTAGAAGGTCATGGTCAAGGTCAAATCCAGGTAAAAATATTTTTAGGATTCATCCTTGACTAGGTTCATTGTACTGAAAAATTCCGGAACCCCACGATCATTTGTGTGTCCACAAATTTGACCTCATTCCTTCAAGGTCGTTCGAAGGTCAAGCCGATTTTTTTAAATGGAATCGCCCATTTTGGACCATGTAAATTAAAAAAGCGTAAAATTTTACATTCAAGTATGGGCTTGACCAATCTTAAATTTTGACCTTAGGTTATGGTCAAGGTTGAACCCAGGTACGGTAATAAAGGTTGAAAACAAGTAGTCATAGGGAAACGATCGATAGATTATTTTCATGATTTTTCCCCGGATATCCAATGGTGACCTTGGATCTGACCTTTACAATGATTCACTTGAACATAATGTAAAGGTCAATTCGATTTTTGTATCCAGAGAAGAATCCTGAAAGAACAATTAAGTCAGTTTATCTGGAGATTACACAGTTTTCTGAGTTTCAAAGAATTAAGGTAAACTTTTGTTTGACCTTGATAGTCAAGTCCAAGGTCAAGTTCCAAAAATGGTCAAGGACATATTAGAAAATAAAACGGCGGTAGTGCGGAACTTCAGAGTTTATAAATCCTCAACTAACTACTTTACGATATTTAGACGCTGTCAGAATTAGAAGAAACTATAGTTGGGATGTCGGATAAAACGTCTGTAATAATAAGGTATTATTAGTATCTGTCTTTTTTATTCCTTCGTCATGAACCTTGTACCAGTACGTGGTTTCACCCTACTCGATCATCGATATTATCACATAACTTCTACAAAAAAAAAATACTGTGTAATGAATCCAGAATGTGGTTTCTTAAAGGACATATAATCAAATGCTATTATTCCAAGCTATTTTATTCTGATCCGTCCTTATTTTCCAAGTAGCAACGCTTTTCAAGATGATCTTCCACCTGAACTTGTGGCATGACTAAAACAAATCTTTATGCTTGTATGTTACTCCCGAAACCTTCAAAGCTATGCATTATGTCAATATTAACTGTAACCACATGCGTAACAGCTATTCTTAAGCGCAGTTCTAACCAACCTGAAAATGGTAATCGTGCTCAAATTTTGTGTTTGCTCAAACGCAAGCTTAAACGTAAAAGGAAAGAATATTGAAAGTCCACGCTTTAAAAATCGCACTTCTGCTTTTATTTCATAAGCTTTGCTTATACTTACCGTAATGCTTATACGCTCAAAATAACGGTCCATGAATGTTGTGTAAATTCCCAAAATATACGAGTATTCTGTTTTGAAATAAAAATTTATGCTACAACTTCATATGACATTTATATTTAATGAATGTATATTTTTGAAAATATAGATTATTTTTGTTGGTCAAATTGAATAGTTTATGATATATTTGAACCTCCGAGGTTTTAAAATTATACTGAATAAATCTATCATCTTATTCGAGAGACAACAATAATTATATGATTTATTCTGGATTTCTTTCTTGAACTGTCATAAGAATCTTTTAAAAAATAGCTTGCACAACTATTTTTCAAGTTAGTGCTACTTTTCTTATACTGAGAATAATTAGTAGCTTGAATTTTTATGTTAATCTATTTTTCAGTCCACATATTATGAAGTATGTCGCCTTTTTATATCTTTTTTCTCCTTGTGGTTTTATTACACATTTCTACACGTATTAACTCTACATATTAACCAAAAACATATAGAATTTATCTATGTATCGAAAACAAACTTTTCTAATTAAATGTTTACTACATTTTGCTGTGTTTTCTATAATTCAGTCTTTTACGATTTTTAAATAGTCTCCCAGTGGACACAGTGACGTCATAATGTCGACATTTTTAGGGCATTACTGACGTACGCCGACCAATGACGTAGAAATAACGTCATTATGGCGGTCTAATGTCAAACCCAATTGACGTCGTTATATGACGTCATAGTATGTCGTATTTTTAATATTATTATTAGCAGCGCCACCTTCAACTAACCGACCAGTCCTTTCTTGGTATTGAAGCTAGCCACTTACTTTTCAACTCCTCACTTTTTGGAAATCGAAACACTGACCTGTAGGGTGTCGATCTCAATTCTGCCTCGTAGTTTCCCTTGCAGCCTGGTACACAGCAACGCTTAGGCATATTAATTAAAAGAAAAGATGTACCCACTCGAATCTACACACTATACAGACGTTTCTAACAAGCACCGATTCACACACATTTTAAACACATCAAAGCACGGTTTTATACTACCTAAAATAAATACTTTCTGCACGGTTTGAAGAGCAAAACTAAGTAGATTACTCTGGTTTGTATGAATTGCACTGTTCCCAGAGATTTACAACAAAATTGCACCAAAAAGTCGGAGGTTAGGAATATAAACAAACGAAAAGCCCGGCAAACACCTGTCTGTGGAAGACCCCAAAGCTGCGTTGCCATATCTACTGTTCATGGCTCGTTAGTTGAAGGTGGCGCTGTTATTAGAAAAGTCATAGTCACAGGATATTTTTATACGAAGATTCATGATACTTTAAAGTACTTATTAGCATTAGTATACCTATTTTACCTTACTTTTAATTTAAATTCTATATATTCTAGGTAAGCGTTGATTTTTCAGCACTGACTGTCCTAAAAAAGACGTCAAACTGTCTTCATATCAATCATCGTCGATATAAAACGTCATTTTTTAGTATCCGACCAAAAGTGTCTCAATAATGACTGCATTTTGACGTCATCATGTTCACTGGGCTGTCTTAATATTTGTATCATATTTTGTAGATATCAGTGTTATATTGCTCGATCTTTGATGCAGTTATTTTGCGGTATAAAACTTGAAGTTTTTGCTTCGACATTTTATATTATCAAATACATTAAGTCAATAATAAATATATTCTCGCTGTTATGGGCCAACAGTGTAGGCTCTTCTCTATGTACTGACTTATCCCCCTGCCTTATAGGTTGACTGAAAACGTTCTAGTTGAATTGTGATAGGTAAGTAGCTTGTGGGTCATTTCAGATTTATAAGTTTGTTTTATTGCAGAGTATTTTAATGTTTATCGATAAAAATGTTTGATCTCGAATTTCATTTACTGTATGTGGCGTTACTTTATAAATGAATATCAGTACAAGGTATTTGATAAAATTTTCCACATTAATGAGCCAGTTGATAAGCATTTTTCTAATTTATCTTTATTCAGTATTATTCTCATGCACTTGATGATGATGAGTCTTCTAGTTATTTCAGCAACGAGGAATTTTAATTTTATTAACTCAAAATATCCAGAAACTCTTGATAAATATCCCACTTTACTACTAATCTTGTTTATAATCCTCTCATAATGAATATCAAAATTTAGTTGACAGTCAATGAAAACTCCAAGGTATTTAATTTTTCCTACGAATTCAGTATCTCCACCAACAATATTTTGTTGAATATTTGCACAATCGTTTTACTTGTATTCAATTTGAGTTGCTAACCATTTTGAGACCAGTTTCAAGACTTCGTTTATATGAGAGATAACAAAATGAATATTTTGTGTAACTTATATAAAGAATAAAATTTGAGCTTTGCTTTTTTTGTCTGTGGCAGGTAAATCTTTTACGTGTAAAATAAAATGTCTTAGTATGTCCTATGAAATGCTCACTGTAGGTTGACTAATGATGTTTCTTAGACTGAATAGATCCACAAGACTACAGTGATAATTCCGAAAATATCTAGTATACAAGATGTTTCCAAATTTGCACAATATTGGATATCTAAGTGTAAATATATGCACTAATATTTGAATGTGTCAGTGATACAGGGTTTCCACCAGAAGAAAAAGAAGGGAGCCAGTGTATTTATATATCGGAGAGAAAAATTGTGTGGTGGGCGTTTCCTGTAAATACGCTGCGGATCAATTTTTATTCTGATGGACTCTGTATATGAAAGTTTATGATTCAAGTTAATTTTTCTAAATGTTTACAGTCTTAGTACAACTTTTAGTGCCAATACTTTACAGATTTGTGCAAAATTTGTCACGAATTGGAACAGTTTTATTCTTTCAGATATTTCCGTATATCAACAATCACATATTGACACATTATTATCGATGGTTCTTTTTTATGTTATGGATTTGAAAGAATAAAACTGTTCTCAATATATTTAGATTTTAAATATTTTCTAGTCAAAACTTTTAAACTTGCACAATGTTACAAAAGTGTATCAAAACTACTCAATATAAACTTTATAAATGACATATTTTTTTATTTTATCAAATATCCCTTATACCACAAAAACGTTAGGTCATGACCTCCCTGGACGAATCTAGTTTGACCACTAACATTTACAACTTTCGAATCTCTTATATGTTTGAAGAAATATAGAATTTTTTCAAGTACGTGGTGGATACCAATGGGTAAAAAGTATCAGATTTGCTGTAAAATCACCACACCTGGCAACCCTGATCAACTTGTAAGCCCATGGATGATAGCGTAAGTATGGTTGCCTATACGTTCAGCTTGCCGCACATATAAACAAAATAGTGAATCTGCATTTTTGTAGTTTTAGCTTTCGATTTAAGCACAACTTAATGTCTTTGTGTAAATATCCTAAAAAATGACTACCCTTAAAAATAATGAGTCTGTAGCCACTCTGTGCCAGAATCGTCAGCCTAGCAGTTACTGGAGTATCAAACGCGAACACTTCACAACATTGAGCATATTTTCTGTCAAAATGCTTTGCTTAACCACATTTTTATTTATCCCCAAAATAGGTTTTTGAATATCATCAAATGAAATGCAGCTTAATTTTTCATTTTTTATATAATTAAGTCATTTACAATGTAAGAACAGTGGATGCTTTAAGAGCCTTCCTCTCCTTAGCTTTAACTTGGGCTGCAATTCTGTCCAAATCTCTCCTTCCTTGCTGGGTCAACTTCCTGCCACCATCGGGGCATTTTTCGATCAGTTTGAGACCCTCAAGACTCTGAAGCGCTTTCCTGGCAATGCTTCCAGCAGACCTGGAATCAACAAAACGATAAACTGTTGGAGAAATACAAATAAGTAGATTATATATATTATATGAGTTGGCCTTGTTTGTTTTCAAATTTAAGCGCGAAATTGGAGTCATCAAACACCAGCATGAATATCAAACTAGGTCTAAGATGCTTTTAATCCCGCCGAGACATCGAACTACGGCATACCAAAAAACATGCAGGTATATGGGATGTAGATTTTTAAAAAGCTCAATGATGATATTAGTAAGGAATCAATTCAAAAGAAAACTAACTTTTTTTTGATAGACAAATGTTTCTACACCTTAGGGGAGTTTTTTGTTTAGATCTATATTTTTATACTTTTTCAACTCGTCACTACTTTTATGACCTTGTCATTTGTTATGAATTTTCTGTTCTATTCAACAATGAAATAAATTATTATAAAAATAAAAAATTATATAAAAAAAGCCTAATGAGATACACACCCATTAAGAGGGAAGGAAACTTTTCCAGTGGGTCCCTTACATACACTCAAATGAGAGCAAAAAATATCACTTTTGATGTTGTAGATGATGAAAGTCATTGGGCTTTGATTTATATCGCTGGGTTACTTTCAGTAAAGCACCATTACAAAAAAAGAAAATTTTGGCTATTCTATGGATGAATATACAGTATTTGGGTTTTCAGTGTCGATAAAGAAAAACAGCTTTTTTTTGTTTTCATATTCAATATGTTGCATTACTAACAAGTACTAAAAGCAGCATCTTTTCTCAGTTTTCGGCCATAACTTTTTTACTATACTCATAAATACCTAAAAATCCTTTTTGATGAGTTTTTCGTTCCTACCAACACTTTTGATTGAATCCCAATAAACACATTTTCTTATTCTTTATCGATAAATAAAAAGTTTTCCCATGAAAATTGGTGTAAGCATTTTATGAGTCCATGTTTTGAATGCCCCCTTGAACAACTTGCATCAATAAAACCAGACTTTGCAATTATTTCGAAAAATAGTGGTATTTTCATCTAGATTATGATTTGGCAGAACATTCAAATCTCAAGTATGATATATTTGCCTGTATTCAAATACTTGGCAAGAAAGAAAAGAGTACGTACCTGCAGAAGTGAGACGGCTTGGTGCCATTACGTTTGCGAGACCCAAAAATCTTTGTAAGTGATCCAACACCTACTGGGGAACGAATGTATATGTGCCTGACGACCGCAGAACATCTGACGTAGTACCAATCAGGGTCGTAAGGAGCCAGTTCCTTAGCCTTTGAGGTTTTCACAAGGTCCACCCATTCTGGTACGCGGAGCTTGCCAGTTCTGAAAGCAGGGAAAATATAAGAAATTTAAAACAGAGCTGCTTGTTCAACTTACTTTTTCAGAAACGAGGCAAACGCCTTGACGAATTTGTGCTGATCGACGTCTTTTAGAGTTACAGACGGCATTTTTCTGAAACAGAAAACAAAAATCGTACACACGTGTGATAACCTAAAAGTGTTAGTAAGATAATTTCCTTCCGAAAGCAATTTCTAGCACACGAACTGTTGAATTATAATTTTTAAACGTACCGGTGCTTGAATCGCTAGAGTACCAAACTTTTATATTGGTTTTATAACAGATTTTGGATAAATAATACTAACCTAGCTTCGTCACTCGTTGACAAACGGAAAAGGAAACTTTAGTCACGGAACAAGAACATTTTAATAAAGAATCATAGAATAAGGTAGAATGCCAGACAGCCTAAAGATATCGACAGATTAATGATGATCTGGACCAAGATGGCGTCTCAGTTTCACTCGTCTCCTCAGTCTTTCATCTGTGCTACCTGGTGCTGCCATCTCGTAGATACTAAATAAACCAACAGTACCTATAATGTATACTAAGTGACATATAAATCCGAACACCCAGTTTAAACGGTTTTATTTTAATAAAAGTTGGTGAATGTATTTATCTTACTGTAAATAACAAGTGAAAAAATGTTCAGCCTTATCAGTTGGACATTCCGGTTTTTATACTGCTTTTTTTTTAATTCACTAACGCTCTAAAAATGAATATTTCGGCCGCAGTAAAGAATCAACGTTGGCGGATTTTGGTTCTTGACATCCTTTACGATCGGTTACGATGCCTAGAGTACGGAGACCTGTACGATTTCGTCAACTTAGTGAGTTTGATAGGGGCCGTATAGTGGGACTTCAGGAAGCTGGACTTTCTTTTCGGGCAATTGCAGTTAGAGTGCAAAGAAGTGTAGACACTGTGGTTAGGTGTTGTCAGGCATGGCTTCGAGAAGGCCGTACGCAAAGAGCAAGGGGCACTGGTCGCCGCCGTAGAACAACAGACCGTGAAGATCGCCGCCTAAGATTATTGGCCTTAAGGGACCGTTTCTCCACTACCAGGTCCATTGCAAATGAATGGTTTGCAGAACACGGAAGATCTATTGGCATGCGAAGTGTTTACCGACGAATGAGAAGTTTTGGCTTGTTTTCATACCGGCCACACTGGGTCCTCCCTTTAACTCGAGAACACCGACGTAATCGCCTTGAGTGGTGCAGACAACGGTCACTCTGGGATCAGGAATGGAACAGTATTGTCTTTAGTGGCGAGTCTCGATTTTGTTTTGGCATGCACGATGGTCGTGCCAGGGTTAGAGGGCGACGTGGTGAAAGGAGGAATCCACAGTTTTTTGTTGAAAGACATGTTCATCACACTGTTGGAGTTATGGTTTGGGGTGCTATAGCTTATGGTTCCAGGTCACCTTTAATCTTCATCAGAGGTAACATGAACGCGCAGCGTTATATCCACGAAGTTCTAGAACCCCATCTTTTATCCTATCTTGACACCCTGGCAGATCCAACTTTCCAACAAGATAATGCCCGACCACATGTTGCAAGAGTCACAATAGACTTCTTTCAACATAATGATGTCACATTGTTACCATGGCCACCAAGATCTCCCGAATTATCCCCAATTGAGCACGTGTGGGATATGATGGGTAGGAGATTGCTCAATTTGCAACGTCCTCCTCAGACTCTAGAAGCACTTCGAGAGGAGTTGCTGGTTGCCTGGAATGAGATACCACAGGAGGACATTGACCACCTGATCAGAAGCATGCCTAGGCGCGTTGGAGAATGCGTAGCACATCAGGGTGCATCCACACATTATTAAAGGTCAAAGGGCTTTAAAGCAGTGCAATCATTTTGAAATTTTTATCATTTACTTATTATGCTTCATTAAGTACTTATACAAAAATTTATTAAAATAAAACCATTTAAACTGGGTGTTCGGATTTATATGCCACTTAGTATATATTTCGACTTTGATAACAGGCTTGATTAATTATATCACTACTAGATGTCACCTTAGCACCATTCGTTAGTGCTGCCATCTTTACGTCACACGTTAAGGCTACAAATATCCTTACAGGTCTTTTTACTAGAATTCGTTGTAATTATACAATTCCTGGCTAGATGTCACCAGCTCTATTAGCGGTTGGTGCTGCCATCTCTTCGAGATAAATTGAACCACTAGATATGTTAAATAGGTTTCTGTGCATCTATCGGTTATAGTTATAAGATCTTAAGATAGATGTCACTACCAGCTGCCATCTCTTTGACACATGGCGATTTGGTTATCTCACTTGTACCTATACAGAGAAGACAGTCAGGGAGTGATGGGAAACAGCTGGAAATTCAAATGTATGTCAAAATTATCGCCAACTGAAAAATGTTTTGAAATTTGTTTGTGAAAATCATCCCTTTCTCAAAAGATCGTTAGGTAATCGCAGCAGGTACGTTTTTATTTGAGCTTCTGCATTTTCATACAAAAATTAACGGAAAAGATAGCCTTGGTCCATATAGTAAAACTGTAAACAACGTAATTTCAAAACACAATACATGCTTGAGATGCTACAGTTCTTTGAATAATAACATTTTGTTAATTCCAGGCATGTACGTGGCCTCAGCATCAACAACAATAAAACTCCACGAATTCCCCAGTGGGGAGGCAGTTCACAACTACCAACCAGGCACAAAGGTAGATGGACCAGTCCGCAGCATCTCTTGGAGTAGGGACGGCAAGTGGCTGGTTGTCGTCCCACATTTTGGCCCGCCTGAAATCCTCACCGTCAAAAACAACTTAAAACTACTAAAATTCATCCCGAATGTAGAAGAACCGACTTGCGCTGCATTCCTCAGCAGCAAGAAAACGCTTGGCATCAGTACGAAGAACGGTCTGGTGATGTTGTATGATGTCAAGACTAGAACTGTCAAAAAGCGATTTCCTAGGTGCATAAGCCAGATTACGCATTTGGAATTTTCAACGAAAGATACTCATTGCGCTGTCGGTTGCAAGAATGGGGATGTTTGTGTCTTTAATACTGTGACAAACAGTCCCCCAACTATACTGAAAGTGCCTAAGTCGAGTTCCATGAGTTGTATGAAAATAAACCAGTTGAAACATAACCTAATTTGTGGGGGTAGCAATGAAGGAGTCATTACTGTTTGGGACAGCAACGTTGGCAAACCAAAATGGTTCAGAGAAGCCTTTAACGCGCCTGTAAACGCTGTAGCCTTTTCTACGATCAACCAGGATCTCATGGCAGCGGCTGGGAATGACAGACAGTTTCTCTTTTTTGATTATACAGAAAAAAAGCAAGTTGCTTCGGTTACGGTTGGTAATAACATCATATCGCTAGACTATTCTCAGGACGGGATGCATATTATTGCTGGTTCACAGAACGGACGAGTGCTTATCTATGATTGTAGAAACATTACTGAACCGGTATACACTTATCAAGCACATAAAACAACCGTGCGACACGTAGCATTCCAAAAGATATGTGATAAAACTAACAGTAGTTCTATGTCAAGCATGTTATCTGACTTAGCCTCACCAGTATTACCCAACCAGACCCAAAAAAAGATTTCTAGAACAAGCGATCTGTTCGGTTTTGCCTCAGCTGGCCCCGTATCTGTATCAGCAACGGAGACATCCACTAAACGTACGATATCTGCGGATGAAGGTGATTCTTTCCTAGCAGCCTTAGGCATAGATGGAAATAGTACACATTCTGTTCATAATGACAGTGTCTTTTCAAAAAGTTCCGCAATGCTTCCCGTCCTTCATTTAACCAATCCGGGTGGCGATAATATTCCGACGCCGAATTCAGCGAAAATATTCGAAACTAAACGTTTATTGTCCGATCCACACTTTTCTTCTACACCTAAAGTTTTCCCCAATGCAGGCAGCGGGGACAAAGTGAATGAAGAGAAACCGGTCGTTGAAAATATGGATATGAAATCAACGCTCAAAGAATTATTTCAGGAAGAAATGGAACAACGTATGGAAGAGATCAACAAAAAGGTTGACTTTAACACTATGCACGTTATCACAGAGCTGAGGAGGAATCTCTTCGACTTGCAGTTGTTCCAAGTTAAACAGTTCGCTTATATGCAGAAGGTGTTTGAAACGATGAAAAATGCCACCCCTTTCTTAGCCGCCGGGTGTGATATGAATAAGTTGATTGAAGAAAATGAACAGCTGAAAATGATGAACAAGTTTCTGGAAGAACAATTGAAGAATTCTATGGTGAGCAAGGATAACAAAACCGAAGATTTGTGATACGAGTTTTTCATGCAACTTTTGTACAATTTTTTGAGCATGTTTAGCTCACTTTTTAATGTCTTGTCGAACTTTTGTAACCCAGTTTCATACATATTTTTGATATTTTCTCAAAATAAACGATTTATTTTTATAGTTAGTTATAGTTTTTCTCATCATCTCATGGTGACATCATAATTCGTCATTTTCAGGGCAGTACTGACGTACGCCGACCAACAAAAATGACGTCATTATGGCGGTCTAATGTCATATCCAATCGACGTCATAGTATGTCGTATAAAATACCAAATACAAAGTCGATATGGCGTCTATGTGACGCTGATATTGTAGTAAAACTTATTTATTGTTATATAGAGGTTTCTAATACATTTATATACTAAGTGACATATAAATCCGAACACCCAGTTTAAATGGTTTTATTTTAATAAAAGTTGGTGAATGTATTTATCTTACTGTAAATAACAAGTGAAAAAATGTTCAGCCTTATCAGTTGGACATTCCGGTTTTTATACTGTTTTTTTTTAATTCATTAACGCTCTAAAAATGAATATTTCAGCCGCAGTAAAGAATCAACGTTGGCGGATTTTGGTTCTTGACATCCTTTACGATCGGTTACGATGCCTAGAGTACGGAGACCTGTACGATTTCGTCAACTTAGTGAGTTTGATAGGGGCCGTATAGTGGGACTTCGGGAAGCTGGACTTTCTTTTCGGGCAATTGCAGTTAGAGTGCAAAGAAGTGTAGACACTGTGGTTAGGTGTTGTCAGGCATGGCTTCGAGAAGGCCGTACGCAAAGAGCAAGGGGCACTGGATGCCGCCGTAGAACAACAGACCGTGAAGATCGCCGCCTAAGATTATTGGCCTTAAGGGACCGTTTCTCCACTACCAGGTCCATTGCAAATGAATGGTTTGCAGAACACGGAAGACCTATTGGCATGCGAAGTGTTTACCGACGAATGAGAAGTTTTGGCTTGTTTTCATACCGGCCACACTGGGTCCTCCCTTTAACTCGAGAACACCGACGTAATCGCCTTGAGTGGTGCAGACAACGATCACTCTGGGATCAGGAATGGAACAGTATTGTCTTTAGTGACGAGCCTCGATTTTTAGGCATGCACGATGGTCGTGCCAGGGTTAGAAGGCGACGTGGTGAAAGGAGGAATAGCTTCTGGTTCCAGGTCACCTTTAATCTTCATCAGAGGTAACATGAACGCGCAGCGTTATATCCACGAAGTTCTAGAACCCTATCTTTTACCCTATCTTGACACCCTGGCAGATCCAACTTTCCAACAAGATAATGCCCGACCACATGTTGCAAGAGTCACAATAGACTTCTTTCAACATAATGATGTCACATTGTTACCATGGCCACCAAGATCTCCCGAATTATCCCCAATTGAGCACGTGTGGGATATGATGGGTAGGAGATTGCTCAATTTGCAACGTCCTCCTCAGACTCTAGAAGCACTTCGAGAGGAGTTGGTGGTTGCCTGGAATGAGATACTACAGGAGGACATTGACCACCTGATCAGAAGCATGCCTAGGCGCGTTGGAGAATGCGTAGCACATCAGGGTGCATCCACACATTATTAAAGGTCAAAGGGCTTTCAAGCAGTGCAATCATTTTGAAATTTTTATCATTTACTTATTATGCTTCATTAAGTACTTATACAAAATTTTATTAAAATAAAACCATTTAAACTGGGTGTTCGGATTTATATGTCACTTAGTATATTTACGAGAATAAAACAGCAATATTTAAATATCTGAACATGGAATATTGTTATTAGAAAAGTCGTATTAACAGGATATTTTTGGACGAAGAATTCCCGATATTTTTTTTATAAATAACAATAAAGTAATTAGTATTTGGATATCTAGTTACTGTTTATTAAAAGTCTATATTTTCTTTGTCGGTAAGTGTTGATTTTTCAGTACTGATTGTCCTGAAAAAGACGTCAAAATGACAGCCTTTTAAGGTTGTCTTGAAAAAAAAAATGGTGCTAATAAAGAGGTTATTTTTTAGTCAATGACGTTTCCGACCAAAAGTGACCGGATAATGACGTCGTTTTGGCGTCACCATCTTCACTGGTATGAACTAGGGAAGCATATTTTTGGAATTTTAAAAAATAGTAACCTCATACACTCAAAAATGCGCAAAAAGTTGTAAAACATACAAAACAAACTTTCACACGATCTGAAAGCTATTTTGATCTTTTATTTTTACTCGTAACACCGCTGCCATTAAAACGATGTTCAAAATTAAGTCGCACTACCTACTATGACCTCTCAACGATTTACGTGTTTCGTAGACATCATAAAACAGAAAAATTATCTGAATTTCTAAAAAGCTTCCATACACAGAACTTTCAGCCCAAACCACGCAAAATTTGCTCTTCAAAAAGTTATGGAAACAGGTATACTTATTCTTTTACAGAAAGTTATCTCTTGTCGATGATCCACCGTTTCTAACCGAGAAAACTTCCAACGGGCGCCCATGGATACGAGACAATTCATATTATTTAATGCAAGCGTTTATTTTTTTGTAAAAATCTGTACTTCAAATTTCGATTTGGGATTCGCCGCAGTTGGGAGGGCCCCCTGCAAATTCTGATGTGAGGCCTCCTAGGAGCTCTAAGGCCCGTATCGTCAGTCGTCCCTACAATTGTAGGGCGCGTTTATGGCCTCCTTGATTGTCATAGTTTTGTACTTCTCCGTGTCAACGCTCTATTTTGAGGTTATGTCACAAACATCTATTTGCATCAAATTGTGCTTGCTTTTGAGTTATATCATGTTTTATCAGCCTGAAATTTCCTACAATTCAAAAGGAAAACATATCTTCACAATAGGAGAGCGCTGACACTGACACGGGACGAGTGTAATCTAGAAATTTTTGAAGGAGAGGAAAGAGTATGACAATCTAGGAGGCCATAAACGCGCCCTACAATTGTAGGGACGACTGACGATACGGGGCTTAGGGCTTTATCGGTCGTTCGTTCAATTGTAGGACGCCTTTATAGCCTCCTCGATTTTCATAGTTTTTCTCACCTTCAGAAAGGTTGGGGTATTTCTTGATTTCTAGTGTTCAGTGTCAGCGTCAGCGCTCTCCTATTGTGTGGCTATATTTTCTTTTTGAATTGTAAGAAATTTCAGGCTGATATAACACATCATATAACTCAAAAGCATGAACAAGTTGATGCAAATAGATATTTATATTTCATAACATAACCTCAAAATAGAGCGCTGACACGGAACAGTAGAGAACTATGAACATTAAGGAGGCCATACAGGCGTCCTACAATGGACAGACAAACAAATGACAAACAGATAGAAAGGAAAAGGAATGTGACGTCCAACTTGTCAAAAATTAGAACAAGTTTTAATTGCGCGAAGAAATCCATGAACTTTGTCGTTTTATACCTTTGAAATTTGGCCATACAGAAATTCATGGATTCATGGTCAATGTAAAGTGAGTATAAGGTGCTTTCTGAGCAAATAGCGGATCATGTAGAAAATGTCCAGTGCGCGCCAATGTCGTCCTTCTAACGACAAATACAAAGGCCGCAAGAATACGAGATGCGAACTGTGTGGACAATCCGCGTGGCTTGAGGCGAATGGCAAGCCTTTGACCGAAAATGGCAAGAACGGCCGCCCCCTCAACATTTGCCGCCCCCGGAAGGTACACTTCTGCTTGACTACCTCGCGAAAACATCCACACACGCACACACGCTCGCAGTAGTGCGAGATCTAGCATATAGTTGCATTCTTCACTTTACGAACGTTCAGGAGTTTTCGGGCCTGAAAATAACTCAAATTTATGGTCGATCGCTGTGTGTAGTTTGTATAATTTTGACTATTGTACCATGTATCTAGCTTTCACCATGTTACTGGGTGTTTCCCTCATCCTTAACGTAAATAACATTTAGCAACATCCTCACATACTACTCTCCTGATGATGATGGCAAAGACCATTGAAAGCTAGAGATATTAAAAAAGTATAAAGAGTCCTCCTTGCTTAAATTTTGTCGAAGTACCCAACAAAAGGCGCAAGCTTTAATTTTTCACCTATATATTATATATATATATATATATATGTATGTATAACTTGAGACGTGGTCATTGTCGTCCAGACCAGTTAAAAAGTTAAAATTAAAGCTTTCGCCTTTTGTTGGGTACTTCGACAAAATTTAAGCAAGGAGGACTCTTTATACTTTTTTAATCTCTCTAGCTTTCAATGGTCTTTGGCATCATCATCAGGAGCTGCAATTACATTGATAAAAGTAGCAACAATTGTGTTTCCCTCATCCTTAACGTAAATAACATTTAGCAACATCCTCACATACTACTATAAGTTCATTTAAATTCATTTTACACAATTGTTGCTACTTCTATCGATGTAATTGAAGCTCCTGATGATGATGGCAAAGACCATTGAAAGCTAGAGAGATTAAATAAGTATAAAGAGTCCTCCTTGCTTAAATTTTGTCGAAGTATCCAATAAAAGGCGGAAGCTTTAATTTTTCACCTAACTGGTCTAGACGACAATGACTACGTCTCAAGTTATATATATATATATATATATATGTATATATATAGGTGAAAAATTAAAGCTTCCACCTTTTGTTGGGTACTTCGACATCGTCTTTTAGATCTCATACCCTACCCTCATGCTGGCTTAGTGCTTCTGTTACCCCTGTATTCAAAAAGGGCGACAAATCCTCCGCTAAAAATTATCGACCAATAAGTCTTATTCCTATCGCCGCCAAAATAGCTGAAAGAATCATATTAGATAAGCTCCTGTCATTTGCTTTCGAAAATGACCTTATCCCTAAGAATCAGCATGGATTTCTCCCTGGTCGATCAATAATGACCAACCTTCTCCACTCTCTCAACGATTGGACTCAGTATCTGGACACAAAGACTCTGTTGATATAATCTACTTAGATTTTTCTAGGGCTTTTGATCGCGTACCACATAGAAGGCTTCTGTTTAAGTTGGAATGTATGGGAATAAGAGGCGAGTTGTGACTGTGGATTAAGGCTTTTCTTACCGGGAGGACTTTCTCTGTGCACGTCAGTGATAGCCAGTCTCACCTTCATCATGTAGCAAGTGGAGTTCCTCAAGGCTCTGTCTTGGGGCCAGTGCTGTTCCTTCTGTATACAAGTGACCTGCCCGCATTGATTTCCTCCACATGTTCAGCTTATGCCGACGACACCAAGATTTACAATACTGTCGTAAATTCTGCTATGCTTCAACGAGATCTTGATATTGTTTGTCAATGGT